CAATGTTCAACTCTCTTTTTTGTTATTGTTGGTATTGCTGTTGCAGATTTGTTGCCGGCTGTGCAATATTTAACATAAATTGTGCACAGCTGCCGCAAAACGTTCTCCTCAAGCATCAGCTTTTTGCATACCCTTTTCGTTGAAAGGTTTCACCGAAAACTGCCCGGTTTTAAGAAGTGCAAGTCGCCGGAATTGCGAGTACTTGGAAGAAGAAAACAGCTATACCATAGTAAGTTATAAAGTAAGAGAAAAGCTATAGTTTCAATTAGTATTTTAGAGTATTAGAACATCGTTATATCCTTATATCCAAAATCAACTTTCTAGTCGGAGAGTGAATGCCGCATGATCTTTAATCAAACAGTTAGCGGCGCCGCCGACGCAAGATTGCTGCAACCTTGATAGGCGTTGCCGTCGCCCCTCATTTTGGCCGCCTTTCGATCTCTTGGCTTAAAGAGTGTTCCCGGTTTCTTATTTTTTTTTAAAGTGAATTGGAGCGCGTGCTGCTGTGGTTCGGGGTTTTGGGTTTTTGCGTTGTCGAGTTGACGTTGCAGTTTGCAGTTTCTAATGCAGCTGTGTCAAGGCGCTAACAAATTTATGTGGCCATATGCGAGTGTCTGTTTTAGGCCATGCTACCGTCTTTTGTGGCTTTAATTAACGGTCAACGGAAACTTATGCGCTTTTGTCTACGCCCTGGGTCGCTTGCTGATTTTTCCTCTTTCGCTTGATGTTGTCTTGGGTTACCAAGTTCCGCTTTCGTTCGATGGTTGGCCAAGAAAAAATATGGCCATGCTGGGGGCATGGCAGGGCTCTCTCTTAATTTGTGGTTTTTGCATATCGATACGTCTTTCCTCTGGCTGCCCCTGCAACCCATTTCTCTTGTCGGTGTGGCACGCAGCGATCTCAGCCGATATGTCAATGTTCTATATGCCTGACTGATTTTCCTCCGCCATGGAATCGCTGCTGTTGCTGTTTTTTATTGCGATGTGGTGGCTGTTGTTGTCCAAACGATCAACTGTCAACTTTTGTAAACTTCCGGTTAGTGTTCTGCGCTCTGCTCGGCTCGTTGGTTCGGGCCACTAATGGATTCTGTCCCTCTTTTTTTCGGGGCCAACAAAACATTAAAAAAGAAGGGGAAATGGCTGGGGAACTTTTAGTTTTGTGACTTTGAGAGACTTTGTGATAGAGAGAGAATAAGTCTCCATTGACAAACGATAAAGCCAACCTGTCAATTAGCCAAATATCTGCGCATGCCGAGACATCATTTTCGTATCATAAATTGGCGAAAATAATGCACAGACGAGCTGTGAGCCGGATGAGCACAAGCTAACAATGGCAACCATTCAACTACTACCCATCTCCCCGCAACAATCACTTTCGGCAAGGGTTCAATGCACTAGAGGTTCGTGCAGCTCCCCAAAATGATGGAGATGATGATGATGATGATGGGTATGATGGTCGCAGCATAACAGTCAAAACAACCGAAAAACCGATGATGACAGAAAATAAACAAGCAACAGTAATGACTGAGGCCACAGAAACGACAATAACACTAACAAGAGCCATCGCATCGACCAATAGCCGCCACAATGTTGCAGCATTGGTCTTATCGGAGTGGTTGCAAAGTCAGTCAGTGGAGAAAAGAGCCGTAAACATGGCTTATTATGGCGACACTCTGCGGCATATCTGGCTATTAGCTGATAGGGCCGAGCTAGTGTCAATCAACCAAGAACTATATGGCCTTACGAGGTTTCATTGACGTGGCATGTGGGTGAATGAACGAAACTCTTAATTCAGAATAAAAATCAGAAGAAGCTGACTTAAAATACTGGCCATTTCGAACTGAAATAACAACCGATTCAGGGAACTAATCAAAGCTCAGCAACTGCGATTACCAATTCCAATGAATGCAGGAAATCAACAACAAAAAAGTGTAATTAAAATTAAATTAAAAACGAACAAAGCCAAAAATGCGCACAGCCGGTGGTGCGTGCGTGCGAACTTCGAGTGTTGCAACTTGCAATTGTTGCTTGCCTCCAATTTGCACTGCCACACACACAGGCTAGTGTGCCTCGGATTTCGTGGTAGTCTATTGTTTTGCATTTTGCGATATAATGCAGAAAATACTCGTACATCAATAGCGAAACATGCAAACTTTTGTCTTCTTCTATTAGTGCCAGGGACGCACCAGTCTACGACTACTGACTACTGCTGACTCGTAAGCCAAAAACAAAGCAACTAGCGCAGAAATATAGAAAAATGTGTGATGTTGCCACACATCTTTAATCGAAAATCACAATTTAAATAGCTCGCTTATGTCATCATCCCCCTGGCAAATTGGGTTTTATTTCTAAAATTAAATAAACCATTCAAATGCTCACAAGATGACAAAATACCGCAAATACCATTGTTCATAATACAGTGCAGCTGTTTTATTGCCAGCCATTGATTGTTTAGCTAAATAAATGAGCCATACGATCCGCGATCCCCCCATTCCCATCGAGAAGGTTCTGAATAAAGTCCCAATGTTGGCCAACATATAGCCCATTAATGGGCCTCTTTCAGAGACGCGTTTACATAAGCTTTTGGATGTTCTGGGCAGCCGAATTGTCGACAGCATTTTGTATTTTATTATGCAATCAAAATAATGTATTATGGTCACTTTAGCATAACCCGTTTCCGTTCCCCAATGTCGAACTCCCTTGCGAAATTATATAAAAATGTTAATTATGTTTGGCTATCGGCTCGGATTAGGCTATAGCTAAAGAATCGCCATCCTCGCCAGACTGGGCCCCGATCCATTATGCATGTACATAAATTATAGAGGAACTGTAAATTATATGGCCAAGTGGCTGGGTGGCAAGTGGATGGCCTTTAGATCTGTATTTCGCAATCGAACAGGAACATTGGCGAGATCCAACCTTGAAAGGAAAAATATTGATCTAATTTCTCAAATACTTCGAGTATTACTTTTCCACTTTTCCCACCATTAGCCTTATTATTGGCCTCCAATAAACAAATCCAAATAAAAATAGAAACGTATGGGAACTTTTTGAAAACAAAGCATTTTCTGCCTTTTCCATTTTGGCACTTTGAGTCATACGCCTATTTGCCTTTCACATTTTAGGGAAAAGAAGGCTGTCCGAAGATCGAACCGTTACCCCTTTCCCGTATATGTGTAAAATTTTGCTTATCCGTGGCAAGTATTTTGCTACGTATGTATCAAGAACTGCGTCTCGGCGTCTCGCAATTGTAAACAATCCATCCGCAGGGGCTGAACATAAATGAGTTTTATTAATTAAACGCAAAAATGGAAAGCCAAGAGGGCCAAATTGTTTACACAGAAACGAACCAAGAAGACCGGAGTCCCAAGCCAGCTGCAAAAATACGAGCAGTTTTATTTACTTTTTGGCCAATGAATGAAATAAATTTTTCAGCCTCAGCCTTTATTTCGTTTTTGTCATATTTTTGCGCAGCTCTCAGTTCAGGGCCAAGGGGGCGTATGTGTGATATTTATAAAAATGAACCGATAATGTGACAAAAATGGGCCAAATATAAGCGGAATTCTGAATACATGTATACTAAAAGCTTGAATGAAAGCAAGAGTCCAAAATTGTCTATATTATCGAAAGAACTTTCTCGGGCCAAGGTCAGATGCCCCAAAGGCGTCATCGTTTAAATTAAGATTCCTCGAACGAAAATTGCATTTAAATGTTTTGTCACAAGGAGATATGGCCTCTGTTAAGATTTAAGATGGAAGAAATACTGCTGACATTGCTGAAAAATATGTTAATCTCGCTCTGAAAATTAAAGTCAACTAATTAGCATAATTTTTAAACAAAACTGTTGAAAAAGCAAACATAAATTGGCGTCTGTGTTTTAAGACGAAGAGTTTAATGATCCATTCCAGCTGACAATTGATTGAGTGTTTTGTCAATTTCGTGCCTGGCCACAATCAATTTCATTTTTTTCCATTTTTAGTTTTAGTTTCTGTTGCAGATTTCATAATTTTTTAATTTTATAATTTATGTGTGATGAGCTGTAAAGGGAAATACATTATATTTTTTGCGGCGCTTTTGTTGTTATGTGATGCAAAATGATGAAAGTGATGATTTGTGAAGACGGAAAGTGGAGCAAACCTTAATGTTCGAGGCATGTGGCATAACTTTTTAAAAATTGGAAACCAAACTACTATACTTTCAAGCAGATGATGTCCACTGCCTCGGGTCATGACTCTAACGCTTAGATTATCGCTGACCTTAAAAGTATGAAGCGTAGAATTTTCACATCTACGTGTGAACAGTTTTCTAAACATCTGCTAGCCAAGAAAAAGAAAATTTCTCCCCGGACTTTAATAAACAATGACAAAATCAAATGATAATGCCTTGCCCCCGGCCAGTTGCAAGCAGAACGGTTAAGTTGGCCCAGTTGGCGAGTTTCTTGAATACCATTAGTAGTGATTTTTGTAGCTTGTGAGTACTTCTTTTTTTCCAAGTCATAAATCAGCATGTTGATGCTGTTGCTTGAGAAGATAATTTAACCAAAAATTATTCGTTTTTTTTTCTGTTTTTGGTTAATAACTTTAATGTTTCTTACACTTTTTTGCTTCTTGATAATTAATGTCAAGATTCACTCTTGTGTTTTTCTTTGTCTTTGGGCAGTTTTATTGCCACTAAATGATTATTGGGTGTCTTTAGCGGTAAACGTTTTATGGGTCAGCGCTACGAGAACTTCTGGCGACCGATGGCCCCATAGGGAGAGGCGTTAACGTGCCGCCTTCTGGCCAGGTCCATTAATGTGTAAAAAGCCAAGATTTTATGAGCGCTTAAGGCTCGATTCAGAATCAGTTGCGGCTTCTGCTGTTGCCTGATTTGGTTAATTGTTAAATCGATCGCTGTCGGCTAGGATTATGAACATTAATGGTTATTGATTCTACACTGAAGAAAATCACCCAAAGAGAGAGCTTAACACTAACTTTGAACTTTGTTTCTGGCTATTTGCAGATCCCAACGAACACCTCTACGACCAAGCTCCCACTCAGGCAAGACCATTTGAACAGGTAAGCTGGCCAAATATAGAAAACAGACATCTCCTGACATCCATTCAATCGAGCTAAAATGTTAGCCAAGGGTCGTTAATCAAAAGGCATCAAAATAAAACGCACAGTTGGCTGTCTCACACGGCGCATTGCATCATTAACGTTGAATCAGCAGGTAAAGTGTAGGGATATACTGTATACAATCATATGTATAGTATAGACACAAGCTCAGGCATATACCTGCCAGATACAGATACTTATAGATCAGAGAGGCAGCTGAGTGAGTGCACCGAGTGAAACAGCGTCAAATTGCATTTAAATTGAATGAAATTAATTTGACATGCAAGCTGTGTTGAGTCGCCGCCTCAACTTCAACTCGACTCTGCTGGCAGGGGGGCATAGGGACTTGTCTGTCTGCCGCCTTTCAACAAAGCGTTATAGTTACATGTGTACAGATACAGATACAGATACAGATACGCATACAATACGGGCAGCGAAAGATACCAGCTACAAGATACAAATACGAGATATACAAACTGCAGCCAGATGAAAGTCAGTGCACATGTCGGGCGAAATCAGAATGACAGCCAGCCCATGCCCGTACAGGGAGAAGCCTATAAAGTGGGAGGGACTGGGCTGGAAGGTGGATAGAGAAAGATAGATTCTAAACACACATCCACCAGATACAATAGCCCTGGGCCTAGGTGTGGGGGCCAATGATTTTCTGCTTTCCTTTAAAAATAACTCGGAAAATGATGTATGCCTGGCTGGCGGGCCTCCTGTTCTTCCTGCACATGAAATATTTTCATCAATGCCTAGTTCGGCCCGGGTATCTGTATCTGTCTCTGCATCGGCATCTGCATCTGCAGTTGCAACTGCAAATGGCCCGGTGATCGTGTAGGCGTTTTTGTATTTTGATTTCCTTCATTTATAACACTTTGCTGCCAGCTTTTTCTTCCGTTAGCTTTTTGTAATTTCTCGGCTGGCTTTTTGGCTTTTTGGCGCCTCGAGTCTTTGTCTTTGGCGTTTCGTTTCGATTCGTTAGCATCTGTATCTGGGAGATAGGTATCTGCAGTGTCTAGCAGTGTCTCTGGCAGGCAGCTAAATGAATGATTGCCTTATTCGTTGTCATCTTTGGTCCCCGATCGCTTTGATCTCGCTTCCAGTGTGGGATTGTCTGATAGAACGATTTCGTATACCTCCAAGGTTAGGCTCCAAATGAATTATTATTTGTTTTTTTCGTGGATTTGTTTTTTTGCACGATTCGATTTGGTGGGGTGTGATCAATGGGTTTCTGTTTGTTGTCAGAGACTCTGCTGGAATTGGCTACGAAATTCAATTGCAAGTCAAACATGTTTACAAATATATTCCCAAAGATAATTGTTAAATTTAACGAGTATTATAAGAGATTATTTGTCCATTATTTAAACCATAAAAAGCCAGAACTACAATCACCACCCACCAAATAGCTAATTGAATATTTTATCGCCCCGACATGCTCGACAATAATTCCATTCACAGTCGGCCGGGCCTCTTGTGGCGATTGTTCTCAATTGTTTATCAATTTGCAAACACACATTTAAAAATGCCATTTGACCAATTTGCCTGTAAGTACCCACATTAAGCACACATTCCAAGCACATTCCTCTCGGCCGGCTGGGCACTTTTGGTGGGTGGCCATTAAAGCCACACCCCAACTTAACGGCATCCATTATCCGACCATTCTAAAGTAAATGTAATTTTTATTTAGTATTTCTTAAGCTTATATGTTCCATTCTTGAATTGCAAACCTTTCGGCACATAACCGATGGGAAATCATTATGAATTGACGGTCAAGAGACGAGCTTCGGGCGTTTAATTAGCCATGAAGCTTAGCAATCAAATACAAAGCGCAACCACAAAGCTGAAATTAAGTAAGAATCTAACACAAATGCCACAGAGGCATTAGGATAGAGCCCGACGCTAGTCTACAATTTCAGCGTTCGACAAATTATTTCGCATATTCGCCGCTGAGAACCACCACCAGGCCGGGCCATGTCAGGCTCGGCTCGAACACGTAAGACCTGAGACGTGAGAGGGCGCGGCAGAGCCTCTGAGCGAAGTCGGAGCCAGCACTGCATTTGTATCTCTCTATCGCTGTAGCTGTATCTTTGTATCCCAATATCTTTGTATCTCTGAGTCTCCCCCGCCCTGGCCGCCCCTAAGCTTATGTAGTCCGCAATTCAAAACGCGTAATTGTTACACCCTGATTACGCGACCGCAGCAAACAGAAAATACAAAAAGTAATATGGAGAATTAAGAAAAAAACATTTTGCACCGAAAAAAATAATTAAAGCTTTAAAAAATCAATGAAATTAAGGCCTAATTGAAAATAAAGCTTTAACCAAGCTAAGGAATAAGTATAGGTTGCTTTGAATAATATTAAAATAAACCTGCACTGTGTACTGAGCCAAGATTTGAGCCAACAATGTGGCAGGTTGGTTAAAATACAATCTAACTCGGTTGTTCACATGGCTCTGCCTTACGCGACGGAGTGCGTGTGACTGGAGATATTATTATATGCATATGTTGGGGAGTCTGGGGGCAACAACTGTCCATCTAAAGTTGCACGCTTCGCTGGTTATCCCAAGGTATGGGACACAAGTACCTACCATGATATATATGAGGGGATAGTGAGGAAGAAACCCTTAAGTTGACTGATTAAATTATGGGAATAGCTCTATAGAATTAAACAAACTTAACAAATCTAGAGGCCCGTTCTATTGCAAAAATTTAAAAGTATCTGGTGATCTCGAATTCTGTCGCATTGAACTCTGTGCCACCGATATTTGCATGCAGAACTGGCCTGTGGACATTCACTTTGGCGCAGACATGCTTAATAATAAATCACTTCTTATCGAATCCGATCGCTAGTGAAAAGTCGATCGCCCCACTAAACGCAAAAGCGAAACAAAATTGTTCCACTTCAGTTGAGAAATACAATACGAAGAAAAACAAAACCGAGTGAGCAACAAACAACAGCAAAAATTAGAGAGATTCCCGGCTTGGGGCCAAATGTAGTTTAAAGGGAAATTAATTTTGCACGATCATTGTGCTGATTCTACTCATTGAATTCTATTTGTATCTGTATCCGTATGGCACTGTATCGGTATCTGTATCTGTATCTGTGTGATGGAGACGCTGAACTTTGCTGGCGAACGAAATGGAAACTAAGTATCGATTGCAATTGAAAAAAACTGGAACTGAGGGAAGTGGCCGAGCAAATTGAGCAAACGAGCGTAAATTATAGGCCATATGGCTAAGGCGCAGTGGAGATCGGTAGAAATTAATCAAATCAGCAGTTAACCGCAAGCAGGGGCTCTTCAAAAGTGCATTTCTATTTTCTGTATTCAGTTAGCTCCCCCTTTAGCTCCCCAGCTCCCCCAGCTTGTCATGTTTTATTTTTGTTTGCTTAGACATCAAAAAAGCAGCATCCATCCCGTACTGGCCTTCGCCATGTGTCACGGTTTCGCAAGCATTGGCTTTGAAAAAGTACCCATACGAGAACAATTCTTTGTTTTCTTTGCATAATATTGTACAATATGTGCCCGGCCTTCTCCCTCGGCATGTTCTTCGCGCATTTAACTAATGCATTTGATTTAACGAGCTTATTTAATGAGCAACTGCAATAAAAATAGTTTTATGACTTTTCACAAGTCTGTTTGGGCCAAACTGATGCAACTGCTTGTGCAAGTCTTAATTGGCTCCGCTTAAATGGAATTGGGTATTGAAAGATGAACTGAGAGCCACTTATATAAAGCGTAAAATGGTAGTAATAGGGTTTTAGCTTCAATTTGTGAATTGGTCAACGGAAAGGTAGGTTCCCTTTAAACTCTACAGATTTGAGGAGATTTTAGCGACACCCTTTCGAATCCAAATCCATTGACCTAAACGGCTGCCAACCGTCCAAGTTCAAGAATGTCTGGCCAACAGCCATGAACATGACAACATCTGCTTGGGCTGGCAGGCAAGCAATCAGGCTTAAGATGCGGTCACATTGAAGTTATGCCGGCCGGCAGACCGGGCTCAGGGCAGGCCGGGAAGGGAGAACCAGAAATCAAGTCTGCTTAGTCATCGAACTTGGCCTAATGCAAAACACTGGCAGTCGACTGCCGACTTGAGGATGACTCAGCCCTGGACTGGCAAAAACAAAAACATAAAAAAAGTAAAAGAAAGAAGGAAATGTGCTACCAGTTTAGCCCAAAGAGCCAAGAAGCGAAGATCGAATGCTTCAGCCGCCGCTGTCCTACTCCACTTCTTCATGGAGTCGAGATTTCGATGTTGGATGTTGGCTGTTGGATGTTATGCCCAGTCATGGTTTGTCGGCTCTGCAGCAGATGCCCGCCCTCAACAGGCAGTGTGCCCTCGCTCAAGAAACTCTCGCTCACATGTATCTAATGGATACATTGCACTGCACGAATATGTCTATTTAGAACTTTAAAGTTTAAGACTTTAAATCTTTGGGTTCTTGAAACTTTCCTCAGTGCTTTGGCCATGCTAGCCTCGGGTACCTCTTTGTACGTGTTGTGGTGTACGGTGTACACTCTCAATTAGTTATTCATATAACGTGCTAAACAAAAAATGTAAAAAATGCAAAATATAAAGAATCAGCAACCGCCTTCCCTCGCTCTTGAGTTGATTAAGGCCCGCATCCAGCCGCATTGGCTACTTATGTCTCCGAGGGCGAAATGCTCATCCTCATCCTCGTCCTCATCTTCATTCTCATCTTCATCCAGAAACTCATCCTCATCCACAACTCGAACATTGTTTGCCTGTCTGGGCTTTGACAAAACTTTGCATGTCATGTTGTCATTATGGTTCCTTACCCTTTTTGTGTCTCCCCCAGCCGTGGATCCTTGGGCTGACATTGTGTGTCTACTACTCGGGGTTCTTGGTCTTTCGGCATGGCGCAACTTGGTGTCTGCCCGGATATTCATAGACATTATAGGCACTTATCATCGGTTTAGGCTTCACGCCTTTTGTCTCAGCGTCGGTCCCAGTACCAGCTATCTGGAAAAAGTTTACTCAGAGTCCCCTTCTTGGTAAACACCCCCAACCACGAGCAAACAGCGATCTCTCCAGCATATTAAAGTTGTCAAAAGCATCGGCTTACCCTCCATTACCGCAAATGCTTGTCGGGCTTAAAGCAGACAAAATAAATATAAGATTTATGCTGAATTGGATTTCAAACGAAGAGATTGGAATAATAAGTTTATTTCTTTAGTCTATCAATGTGGAGTTATTGGCTTTATTCTTTTGAAAACTTTTCAAACCGCTTCGTATTACTTCTCTCACTGCCGTGCTTCTTCAGCAAAAAGTTTATAGACCATTTCGAAGACTCAAGCGTATTTGGGTCATCTGCGATCGGCGAGGCCTTTGTCAGGAGGTCACACGGAATCGGACCCAATCTCGGACATATATGGGACCAAAAGTGCTATAAAACTTCATAAATTGCAAACTATGTCAATGGGACGCACAAAGCTTCTTCTTTGTTTACTGCCAATGAGGTATAAGGCCTATAGCCATTAACTTCTATCTGAATCTCTCGGCAAATGAAATGCTGCACCAATAAAAATCAAAGCCATAAACACCCAAATAAAGGTAAACAAAATCCGATATTGATGTGAGCCTGCACTAATTGTTTATGGCGTTGATAATGGCCATATCGAAAGAGTGGTCCCAAAAGGTGATTGCATAATCGTCGAGTCGAAGCGACATCGAAAACAAATTACAAAATCTGACCGCAACAAAATATTGTAGTAGTTATAACCCGAAATAAGTGGAATCAGGTTGGCATTAACCTTTGGCATTTCGCTCTTTGGATTTATTTATTTATTTGTTATTATTTTCGGATTGGTTGTGTTATGAAATGATGTTGGGCCCACGCCACTGTTGCACACCCAACAAATGTCAAGTGTATGACGACATGAGTGTTGCACAGAGAACTGGCCAAAACGTATCTGACGGATACACATTCACACATCGATGGCAGCAACTGCAGCGCCTGTCTTGGCTGGCTTGGCTTGCCTAACAAGCGGAAAGCAAAAACATAACAGTAAAGTAAATTAAGTAAAAACCACACAGCAGCAGCAGTAGTAGCAGCAACCAGCAATGCAACGTTAGAAAAGAAAAACCGGACAGAGCCAAGTTTTAGTTTTCGCGCGATGAGAGTATATGTTGGTCAAGAGTGTCCGAGAATAGAGAACATACAGGGTATAGCTGGGGGATGAGGATGAGGAGGGCAGGGTGTGTCTTAGCTGGCTGGCTGTTCCATAACAAAAGTGGATGACCTCGAGAATTCTTGCTTGCGTTAGAAGCCAGAGAGATCACTCAAACGTTCCCTCCACGTATCTGTCTTAGAATCTGTATCTGCCAGTTGCTTGTCTTGGAGTCTTGCTTGTACCTCCATCGCTTTGGGCATCTTCTGCTATGACGATATCATATGCCTAAAATTGGTAGCTTGCCTCGCAAGCCGGAGCTGTGTTCTTTTGGGGCAAGCACTTTGCTTTGTTTATCTCGACTTGGCGGCTTCTTGTGGCAATGTGTTTTTCATTAGCGCCTGCTTAGCCACAAAAAGTTGTTGACTTCTTGTAAAAATAGATTGTGAAACTGGTTTACATTAATCAATTAACTAAACACCAAAAATTGTTTTTCTTTCCAGATCTTATACTCCACAAAGACAATAAAAAATTGGGTCAATTGGGTAAGCCAAGCTAGTTATTATTTATTCACATTTTTTAGTTGAATGTTTTGAATATTCTGGCATACACTTTTTGCAACAAATTTCATCAATAATGTTGTGCAAGTCTGGTGTCTTTCACATCGAAACAAAAAAGTCTCTCTGGTTAACAAAAAAGTGGTCGCTGACTTCCGTCGCAAGGCAGTGAAGGAAAAAACTAAACAAAATAATTACAAACATCCTTTGTAACTAAAAAAACAGTTTGAACAACTATCCGCAGTAAGACATTTATTATTTCTAATTTCATATTAATTTTTTGCCAGAATATCTTCAACAAACGCAGCGCTGAAATTAGTGTCGAATTGTGGCTTCTTGTCGATGAACCACTTTAGGGTCAACATGTACTCGCCTGTGGGAATTGGTACACGCAGTAGTTCTGGCTTTAGATAAAAGTCCTTAACTATCTGAGGACCCTGCAAGAGTTTATCATCAAGACACATGGCAATCATAGATAATTTTAGACTTACCACGTACGGACAAGAGTGGTTGATATTGGTGAAGTCCTTCATCAAGTTATACATAATGGAGACTAGGGGGTCAGATTTCTGTTGCATAAACTTACAAGCATCCACAGTTCTCTCGTAGAGCCACGGCTTGTAGCCATTTTCCTTTTTATAAAGTTTACCATGAATTTTGATCTTGTGGGCCGGATAGTGCAAGGTTCCATTCATATTCAGGACGATTTTGTCCCGATTGATGGCCTTGAGTCGGCAGTGGGAGAAAGTAAACCACGTTTTGTTATAGCTCTCGCAGGCAAAGTTGGTGAACTTGAACACGACTGCATCCTGAAATTAATTTTGATTGATAGATTTTGATTCAAGAAGGATAAGTCACTTACATTGAAATCCAAACTGAAGAGAAGAAAGGCTCCGAAAAAGGCACTGACCAGCCAGAATGTTGCCATCGTAATAAACATATTATTGGACACCAAATTATGTTATTTGGGCTCCCAGCAGAGATGCGATTTTAATTGCTGCTTATTTAAAAGCGATTTGCTTGTTTACATTAAAATCTCATTTTCGCACATTAATATTACAAAATTTTCCACTTTTCCTTTCCTTTTCATATAAAAAATCGGCACGTTTTCAACATAAAAAAATTTATTTATAATCCAATTTTTTAGCTTTAATTAAAGTATATGAATAAAAAATTTAAGTAGTAATAAAACAATATAATAAAGTTTCATGACTTGGTTTTAAATAAATCTTCCACAATGGTCACACTTGCGTTTGTATCGAATTGTAGTTTTTCATCAAAGTGCCATCGTAAGGCCAGAAGGTAATCCCCAGTTGGAAAAGGGAGAAGAAGCTTGTCATATCGTAGATAAAAATCCTTAAGGATTTGGGTTCCCTTAAACATAAAAATAATATTAAGTTTGAGTAGGTTTTTAGGAAATACCATACCATACTTACCACATACGGACAGGTGTGGTTTATGTTTGAAAAGTCCTGAAAAAGCCCATAAACGACTCTGAAGAAAGGGTCGTACTTGTTCCGGAGAAACCTGCATGCATCAAGAAAGCCGTTTATAAGCCAGGGCTTGTATCCATTTTCTTTCTTTAAAACCTGATAATGAATTTTAATACGGTAGGCCGGGTGCAGTATCGTGCCGTTCATGTTGAACACAATTTTGTCTCGGCTCACGGCCTTCAGACGGCATTGGTGGAAAACAAACCAAGATTCGTTGTAGCTTTTGCAATTAAAGTTTGTGAATCTGAATTCGAATGCGTCCTAATCAGTTCTGAATTTTAATAAAATAAATATTATACTCCAGACTTTAGCTTACAATAAAAGTTGGCAAAAATATTCCAAGGAAGAGGAAAGTAATGGAGCTTAACCTCATAGTGTTCTGAAAGAAACTGAACGGAATATATCTCAACCTGAGCTTTTAATCTTCATAGGGATGATAAACGTTATTGTGATTTCAATCTATCCGAGTCATTTTTTGCTTAATCAGTTCTTTAATTTCAAGAACATTGGTTTAATGTGGCGTATCTTATTGCCTTAAATTGTACAGTAATTGTTCTTAATACGTGGCCGTTTTGGGGGTAAAAACCTTTAATTTCCTTGACGATAAACCGACTTGAAGTCATGAATATTTTTAGACACCTATTCAACGTAAATAAAAAATGTATTTTTAAACAAATCTGTTACTTTCCTAAACGAAGATCTTCAACGAACTGATAACTAACGTTGGTGTCAAAAATTAGTTTGTTGTGGAAATACCATCTCAATGAAAGCATATAATCCCCACTCGGAATGGGAAGCATTAATAGTTCAGGCCTTAAATAGAAGCCCTTTAGATCCTGCAGGCCCTGGGAAATTTGATTATTTACATAAAACTCAACAATAATATTACAAATTCACGACTTACCACATATGGACAGGTATGGTTAATATTAGAAAACTCCTTAAAAAAATCATACACAATTTTGGCAAAAGGATCATAACTCCTTTTCATAAAGCGACATGCGTCAATTTTCGATTCCAGTAGCCATGGCTTGTATCCACTTTCCTTCTTGTAGACCTTGGCATGAATGTTAATCGAATAAGCCGGGTGAAGAACGGTACCGTTCGCATTCAAAATCACCTTATCCCGACTGACTGCCTTCAATCGGCAGTAATGAAAAACAAGAAAGCAAAGCTAACTTCGGGCGGAGCCGAAGTTTATATACCCTTGCAGCTATAACCGGATATATATCGCAAACATCGGATATAGTTGGCCGATCCTTATGATTACATCATAATAAAACCAATTAATTACAATAAAGAATCTAAAAAAAAGTCCCAAGCTTCTATCTTCAAAAATTCGAAAGTTGATATTTCTACCAAATACCATTTCCGATCGTTCAGTTATATGTCAGCTATAAGATATAGTCAACCGATCGTTATGAAATTTGGTAGATCGGATTGACTGACCAAAAATAGAATGTGTACCAAGTGCCAGCTTTCTATCTTCAAAAACACGAATGTTGGGTCATTTCCGATCGTTCAGTTATATGGCAGCTATAGGATATAGTCGGCCGATCCTAATGAAATTTTGTAGGTCGGATTAACTGGCCAAAAATATAATCTGTACCAAGTTCCAGCTTTCTATCTTCAAAAACACGAAAGTTGGGTCATTTCCGATCGTTCAGTTATATGGCAGCTATAAGATATAGTCGGCCGATCCTTATGAAATTTGGCATGTCGTATTATTTTGCCAAAAATAGCTCTCATGTCAATAGCTCTCATGAACTCTCTAACTCTAAAAACACCAAAGTTATACCATTTCCGATCAATCAGTTATATCCCGGCCGTTCCGACTTATATACTGCGTGCAAAGGAAAGAAGGGTGTGTGCAAAGTTTCAAGACGATAGCTTTAAAACTGAGAGACTAGTTTGCGTAGAAACAGACAGACGGACAGACGGACAGACGGACAGACGGACAGACGGACATGCTCATATCAACTCAGGAGGTGATCCTGATCAAGAATATATATACTTTATAGGGTCGGAGATGTCTCCTTCACTGCGTTGCACACTTTTGGACAAAATTATAATACCCTCTGCAAGGGTATAATGAACCAAGACTCGTTATAGCTCTTACAGACAATGTTTGTAAACTTAAACACCACGGCTTCCTAAAAAACATACACTTATACCATAAACTACGTCCAAATACGAACATTCTTACTCCAAAGAAGGATCTTCTTATTTGAAAAGCCATTAATATGGCGCAGTAAAATGCGAACCGCATTTTAAGGCCGGTATTATGCAAATGATCTACGAGAATGACTCAATTTTTTGGTCTGTCGAGTCTTATAAAAGTAAAACAGAGCAAGACTCAAAATTAAGGTATACATATGTGCTAAAATTAATTGGCATTCATGGGCAATAGTATAGAAAAAATTGTTCTATACTTTGTAATTTTGTGAACAATATAATTCGAAAATAATAGTCCGATTAAGACGCGAATAATAAAGCTTGGCCATACTCCAAATGATAAAAGGTTTTTATTTCAATGTTTTTGTTTCGTACTAATTTTTCGATTAAAATACGTGTTACTTTTAATGTCGAAGATCTTCTGTGTATGTAAAACTCACGTTTGTGTCAAAAATGAGTTTTTTTTTTAAAATACCATCTAATTGCAAGCATGTAGTCCCCACTTGGGATAGGAAGCATTACTAGTTCAGGTCTTAAATAAAAGCCCCGTACATCCTGCAGACCCTTAATACAAATAACATTATAGATCAAATTTCTAGAGTATGTATGAGCACTTACCACATAAGGACAGGTGTGGTTAATATTGGAAAATTCTTTGAACAAACTATAAACGATTTTGGCGATAGGATCATAACTTTTCTTTACAAAACGACAGGCATCAACTTTGGTTTCGATTATCCATGGCTTGTATCCATTTGCTTTTTTGAAAACCTTGCCGTGGACCATGATGGAGTCCGCTGGATAAAGAATTGTTCCATTCATGTTCAAGATCACCTTATCCCGACTGACTGCCTTCAGCCGGCAGTTATGAAAGATGAACCAGGATTCATTGTAGCTCAAACATGCAAAGTTTGTGAACTTGAACACCACGGCTTCCTAAAAAAACAGATGAATACATTTCGCAAAGGCTTTGCAAAGGTTATACACGTCTTACACTTATAAAGGGTGTTCTTATTTGAAAAGACAACAACAAAACGGAAAACAGAGATATAAACCGCATGGTACAGCCGATATTTCCCAAGTGATCTCAGGAAGTGATAGAATTGGTCGGCCAGCCGAGTCATTTGGCAACAAAAAAGACAGTGCTTTTAGATGTGATTCCTATCTTTATGTTCGGAATGAAGGTATATTTAAATTAATGGAATTTTAAAAGTTATAAGCACGGAAAAATACTTTATTTTTGGAAATTTGGTGAAAATGCGTTCTATAAAATACATTTATTGCGAAACCTTTTAAGCTCTTCAATCCATAATACTGTCATTTCAGTAATACCTTTTTAATTAAGAATTGTATTTTACTGTTTGACAATAATTACTTTTTAATGAAGAATCGTATTTTACGATTTAGCTAGAACAAGATCTTCCACCAAGGAAAAACTTGCGTTTGTATCGAATTGTAATTTTTCATCAAAATGCCATCGTAAGGCTAAAAGGTAATCACCAGAAGGAAACGGAAGAAGTAGTCTGTCATATCGCAGATAAAAGTTCTTTAGAATTTGTTGTCCCTGAAAAACCAAAGAATTTGTTCAACTTATGTCTTATCGTTAAAGGATAACCTACCATATACGGACAGGTATGGTTCATGTTGGAAAATTCCTTAAAAAGCCCATAAATAACTCTTCCAAACGCGTCGTACCTATTTCGAACAAATCTGCATGCATCGAGAGATCCGTTTACTACCCAGGGCTTGTATCCGCTGGCCTTTTTGAAAATCTGGTAGTATAACCTGATGCGGTAGGCTGGTTGCAAAATAATTCCATTCATGTTAAATACAACCTTGTCTCGACCCACGGCTTTCAGACGGCAATTGGTGAAAACAAACCAAGATTCGTTATAGGTGCCACACACAAAATTAGTGAATTTAAAAACCACTGCATGCTAAGAGATTGACTTTTTAATAAATCCAGAAAGAATATTTATGCAACTTACGATATTTGAAAAATATATCCCGAGGAATATTGTAAGTAGGTAGGCTTAAGTAAGTAAGTAGGCTTAACCTCATAGTGCTTTAGATGGAACTACACAATATATTTTTGAGCTTAAGCTATATAATCATGAATACAATAACATAACCGGTTTAGTGATTTTAATCTGAATAGAGTAATTTTTTGCTTGATCGGGCCTTTTATTTTAAAAACGTAGGCTTAATATAGCGTATCCTATTGAAGAAAAAAATTTTAATTGTGTTAATAACATTTTACTGTCATAAAAAACTCAAGCGTGAAGATCCTCGGTGAATACAAAACTAACATTTGTATCAAAAGTAAGCTTGTTGTGTAAATACCACCTTGTCATCAGCATGTAATCACCACTGGGAGCGGGAAGACCCATTATTTCAGGCCTCAAATAAAAGCCCCGTACATCCTGCAGACCCTAAACACCAATTACATTAAATATTTGTTCAATACTGTGGAGAAAACAATCCTCACCACATATGGACAGGTGTGGTTAATATTGGAAAATTCTTTGAAGAGACCATACACAATTTTGGCGAAGGGATCATAACTTTTTTTCAGAAAACGACAGGCATCCACTTTGGTGTCAATCAACCATGGCTTATATCCGTTTGCCTTTTTGAATACCTTGAAGTGGATCATGATGGAGTACGCTGGATGAAGAATTGTTCCGTTCACGTTTAAGATCACCTTATCGCGACTGACTGCCTTCAGCCGGCAGTTATGAAAGATGAACCAGGATTCATTGTAGCTCAAACATACAAAGTTTGTAAACTTAAACACCACGGCTTCCTAAAAAAAACAGATGAATAAATTTCGCAAAGGCTTTGCAAAGTTTGTACACGTCTTACACTTAAAAAATGTGTTCTTATTTGAAAAGCCAACAACAAAGCAGAAAACAGAGATATAAACCTCATTGTAAAGCCGATATTTCCCAAGTGATCTGAGGAATTGATAGAATTTGTCGGCCAGCCGAGTCATTTGGCAATAAAACAGACATTGGCCTTAGATGTGATTCCTATCTTCATGTTCGGAATGAAGCTATATTTAAATTAATGGAATTTTAAAAGTTATAAGCACGACTTTATTAAACACTTTATTTTTTTTGGAAATTTGGGAAAAATGTTTAAAATACAGGTTTAAAATACATTTATTGCGAAACCTTATAAACTCTTCAATACATAATACTGTCATTGCAGTAATAACTTTTTAATTAAGAATTGTATTTTACTGTTTGACAACAATAACTTGTTAATGAAGAATCGTATTTTACAATTTAGCTAGAACAAGATCTTCCACCAAGGAAAAACTTGCGTTTGTATCGAATTGTAATTTTTCATCAAAATGCCATCGTAAGGCTAAAAGGTAATCACCAGAAGGAAACGGAAGAAGTAGTCTTTCATATTTCAGATAAAAGTCCTTTAGAATTTGCGGTCCCTAAAAGACAAGAAAATGTGTGGAATTTCTTGTATATATTTTCAAGGAAAACCTACCATATACGGACAGGTATGGTTAATGTTGGAAAATTCCTTAAAAAGCCCATAAATAACTCTTCCAAACGCGTCGTACCTATTTCGAACAAATCTGCATGCATCGAGAGATCCGTTTACTACCCAGGGCTTGTATCCGCTAGCCTTTTTGAATATCTGGTAGTACAACCTGATGCGGTAGGCTGGCTGCAGAATAGTTCCATTCATGTTAAATACAACCTTGTCTCGACCCACGGCTTTCAGACGGCAATTGGTGAAAACAAACCAAGATTCGTTATAGGTGCCACACACAAAATTAGTGAATTTAAAAACCACTGCATGCTAAGAGATAGACTTTTAAATAAAGCGTGAAAGAATATTTATGCAACTTACAATATTTGAAAAATATATCCCGAGGAATAGGAGTGTAAGCAGGCTTGACCTCATAGTGCTTTAGATGGAACTAAACATTATATATTTGAGCTTAACCTATATAATCATGAATACGATAAGATAAACGGTATGGTAATTTTAATCTGAATAGAGTAATTTTTTGCTTGATCGGACCCATTAATTTAAAAACGTGGGCTTAATATAGCGTAACCTATTGAAGCAAATAGTTTAATTGTGTTAATAACCTTATACTGTCATAAAAAACTCAAGCGTGAAGATCCTCGGTGAATACAAAACTAACATTTGTGTCAAAAGTAAGCTTGTTGTGGTAATACCACCTCATCATCAGCATGTAATCACCGCTGGGAGCGGGAAGACCTACTAATTCATACCTCAAATAAAAGCCCCGTACATCCTGTAGACCCTGAACATTAACAACATTAAATAATAGTTCAATAATATTGAGTAAACAAACCTTACCACATATGGACAGGTGTGGTTAATATTGGAAAACTCTTTGAAGAGACCATAAACTAGTTTGGCGATGGGATCATAACTTTTCTTGAGAAAACGACAGACATCAACTTTGGTTTCAATTATCCATGGCTTATATCCATTAGCCTTTTTAAATACCTTAGCGTGGACCATGATGGAGTACGCCGGATGCAGAATTGTTCCGTTCACGTTTAAGATCACCTTATCCCGACTGACTGCCTTCAGCCGGCAGTTATGAAAGATGAACCAGGATTCATTGTAGCTCAAACATACAAAGTTTGTAAACTTAAACACCATGGCTTCCTTAAGAAAAAATTTTATATCTTTCATACACAAAGGTATTACCCGTCTTACATTAAGAAGGATCTCCAATAATATAGCAAAGAACAAATACATGAACTGCATTGTAATACCGATATTTTGCAAGTGATCCACGGGAAAGACAGTTTTTGGGTATTGACAGTAAAATTGATTTTGGATATAAAACAAAGGCTCATTCATTTAGATGGGACTAAGCTTTATATATTTTCACTTCGGATATAAAATGCGAGCGATTTTAAACTAAATAGACCAATTTTTTGTTTGATTGTTCCTTTGGTTATAAAAATTTAGTCTTAATATAGCGTAACCTATTAATGGAAACGGTGCAATTTTATTAATACCTCTATACCCCCACAGAAAACATTCCTTTTTAAAACATTCGTACGAAATAATATTTGCACATGAAATATTTTTTAAAATTCAACCGCGAAGATCCTCGGTGAATACAAAACTTACATTTGTGTCCAAAGTAACCTTGTTGTGGTAATACCACCTCATCATCAGCATGTGTAAGTAAGTAAGAACAACTGTTCCGTTTATGTTTAAGATCACCTTATCCCGACTGACTGCCTTCAGCCGTCAGTTATGAAAAATAAACCAAGATTCATTGTAGCTCAAACATACAACGTTTGTAAACTTGAACACCACGGCTTTTTTGGCACGCAAAGGTATTACCCGTCTTACACTAAATAGGGATCTCCTTATTTTAAAAACAAACAATATAGCGAAGAACAAAGATATGAACCGCATTGTAAAACCGATATTTTGAAAGTGATTTACGAGGGAGACGGTTTTGATTATTGGAAGTAAAATGGCTTTTGTAAATAAAATAGAGGGACATTTAGATGAAACTTCATATATTCATATATTTCCGCTTGGGCTTTACAATCAGAAATCCGATAAGAGGTAAAAGGTATAGTGATTTTAATCTGAATGGAGTAATTTTTGGCTTGATCAGCCCATTCATTTTAAAAACGTGGGATTTAATATATCGTAACCTATTAATGGTAACAGTGCAATTGTATTGACAGCTCTATAATGCCAAATAAAAAATGCCCTGTAACATGTTCGAATATTTAAAAATCAACCGTGAAGATCCTCGGTGAAAACAAAACTAACATTGGTGTCAAAAATAAGCTTGTTGTGTAAATGCCATCTCATCATCAGCATGTAATCGCCGCTGGGAAAGGGAAGAAATAATAATTCAGGCCTCAAATAAAAGCCCTGTACAATCTGTGGACCCTAAAAACCAATAACATTCAATAAATATCAAATGCTTTGGACAATGCTTGACTTACAACAAATGGACAGCTGTGGTTCATATTGGAGAATTCTTTGAAGAGACCATAAACTATTTTGGCGAAAGGATCATAACTTTTCTTGAGAAAACGACAGACATCAACTTTGGTTTCAATTATCCATGGCTTATATCCACTTGCCTTTTTGAATACCATGGCGTGGTTCATGACGGAGTAAGTCGGTTGAAGAAGTGTTCCATTCATGTTCAATATCACCCTATCCCGACTGACTGCCTTCAGCCGACAGTTTTGAAAGATGAACCAGGATTCGTTGTAGCTCGAACATGCAAAGTTTGTAAACTTGAACACGACTGCTTCCTAAGAAAACAATGGTTATATCTTTCAATGGATGCAATGGTATATCCGTCTTACGCCAAATGAGGGTCTTCTTATTCGAAATGCCAAAAATATAGCGAAGAACAAAGATGTGAGCCGCATTGTAAAACCGATGTTTTGCAATTAATCTACGGGAGTGAAACAATTTTTGGTTTTGGTAACAAAACAGAGGTGCTTTTAAATGGAATTAAACTTTATATATTTCCGTTTAGGCCTGTTATCATAAATACGATAGGACATAAACGGAATAGTGTTTTCAATTTATATAGAGTAATTGTTTGCTTGATCAGTCCAATCGTTTTAAAAACGTGGAGTTAATAAAGCGTAACCTATTAAAGGAAATAGTGCAATTGTTAATAATTGCAATAGCTCTATACCGCCATATAAAAACTGCCTTGTTTCGAGAACAAATTCTATTCAGGCGTGAAGATCCTCGGTCAACACAAAACTAACATTTGTGTCAAAAGTAAGCTTGTTGTGGAAAAACCACCTTAACATCAGCATGTAATCGCCGCTGGGAGCGGAAAGACCTAATAATAATTAAGGTCTCAGATAAAATCCCATCACATACTGCAGGCCCTGAAATTAGATACATCACTAAATATAACATATTCTTAAAATAAAACATCTCACCACAAAAGGGCAGGGGTGGTCAAAGTTTGAAAATTCCTTAAATTGATTATATACCAGTTTTATAAATGGGTCATAACTTTTGACGACAAATCGACAGACATCGATTTTCGACTCAAATAGCCATGGCTTGTAGCCGTTTTCACGTTTGAATATCTTTGTGTGAACATTGATTTTATGGACGGGATGAAGAACAGTTCCATTAAGGTTTAAAACAACCTTGTTTCGACTAACTGCCTTTAGACGACAGTGATGGAAAAGGAACCAGGTCTCGTTATAGCTCACACAGACGGCGTTGGTCATCTTAAAGACCACGGCATCCTAAAAAGGAACAAATTATATCACATAATATTTGAACCAAAAACAAGAAAGGAAAGCTAACTTCGGGCGGAGCCGAAGTTGATATATTTTTGCAGTTAAAACCGATCCTTATGATTACACTATGCAAATATCAACTTTCTTATTTTTGAAGATAGAAGCTTGGGACTTTTTTTAGATTTTTTATTTTAGTTAATTGGTTTTATTATGATGTGTTCATAAGGATCGGCCAACTATATCCGATGTTTGCGGTATATATCCGGTTTTAACTGCAAGGGTATATAAACTTCGGCTCCGCCCGAAGTTAGCTTTCCTTTCTTGTTTTTTTTTAACATCGAAATAATAATTTTCGGAATAAGTACTGACAACTAAATGTTTTTTTTTAAATGCCAATCATCTAAAAAGGTAGTCGAATTCAAACTGTATTTAGATGGAACTAAGCCTTATATAATATATTTCCGCTTAAGCTTCAGAATCATGCGAGCGATTTTAAACTGAATAGAATAAAATGTTCTTCATCGGTGCATTAGTTTTAAAAACGTAAACTTAATGGAGCCCAACCTTGGACTCTAAGGAAATAATTAAATTTAATTAATTGCTGTACACCGTCCCATTAAAAAGACATAATTTCATGTACGAATATTATTTAAAAATCAACCGTGAAGATCCTCGGTGAACACAAAACTAACATTTGTGTCAATTGTAAGCTTGTTGTCCAAATGCCATCTCATCATCAGCATGTAATCGCCGCTGGGAAAAGGAAGAAATAGTAGTTCAGGCCTCAAATAAAAGTCCTGTAAAATCTGTGGACCCTAAAAATCAATAACGTTAAATGATAGTCAAATACTGAGTGCAATGCACGACTTACAACAAATGGACAGGTGTGGTTCATATTGGAAAAATCTTTGAAGAGACCATATACAATTTTGGAGATAGGGTCATCATTTTTTTCAGAAAACGACAGATGTTAACTTTGGTTTCAATTATCCATGGCTTATAACCATTTGCTTTTTTGAATACCTTGAAGTGGGCCATGAACAAGTTAGTCGGATGAAGAAATGTTCCATTCATGTTCAATATCACCCTATCCCGACTGACTGCCCTCAGTCGGCATTTTTTAAAGATGAACCAGGACTCATTGTAGCTCAAACATGCAAAGTTTGTAAACTTGAACACGACTGCTTCCTAAAAAAAAAAAAAGGGTTAATATATTTCTTAATGCAAAGGTATATCCGTTTTACACTAAATGAGGGTCTTCTTATTCGAAATGCCAATAATATAGCGAAGAACAAAAACATGAACCGCGTTGTAAACCCCATATTTTGCAAATGATCTACGGGAGCGACAATTTTTAGTTATTGGAAGTAAAATTGCTTTTGTAAATAAAACAGAGGGACATTTTGGTGGAACTAAGCTTTATGTATTTCCCCTTGGGCCGTAGAATCATCGGATAAGAGGTAAACGGTATAGTGATTTTCATCTGAATAGAGTAATTTTTTGCTTGATCACTCCATTTATTTAAAAAATATTGGCTTTATACATTGTATTGGCTTTTATTAATGAAAATAGTGCAATTGTATTAATAGCTCTATACTGCCACATAAAAAATGCCCTATCTCATGTACGAATATTATTTAAAATTCAACCGTGAAGATCCTCGGTGAATACAAAACTAACATTTGTGTCAAAAATAAGCTTGTTGTGTAAATGCCACCTCATCATCAGCATGTAATCGCCGCTGGGAAAGGGAAGATATAATAGTTCAGGCCTTAAATAAAAGCCCTGTACAATCTGTGGACCCTAAATATCAATAATATTAAATAATAGTCAAATACTGTGGGGAATGCACAACTTACAACAAATGGACATGTGTGGTTCATATTGGAAAAATCTTTGAAGAGACCATATACAATTTTGGCGATAGGATCATCATTTTTTTTCAGAAAGCGACAGATGTTAACTTTAGTTTCGACAATCCATGGCTTATATCCGTTTGCCTTTTTGAATACCTTGAAGTGGGCCATGACGACGTAAGTCGGACGAACAAGTGTTCCATTCATGTTCAATATCACCTTATCCCGACTGACTGCCTTCAGCCGGCAGTTTTGAAAGATGAACCAGGATTCGTTGTAGCTCGAACATGCAAAGTTTGTAAACTTGAACACCACGGCTTCCTAAAGAAAAAAAGGTTATATCTTTCATGATGAAAAGGCATACTCCTTCTTACACTAAATGAGGGTCTTTTTATTCGAAATGCCAATAACATCGCGCAGAACAAAGATGTGACCCGCATTTTAAAACCGATATTTTGCAATTGATCTACGGGTGTGAAACAATTTTTGGTTTTTGGCAACCAAACATAGGTGCATTTAGATGGAATTAAACTTAAGAAATTTCCGGTTCGGGTATATTATCATAAATACGATAAGATATAAAAGTAATAGTGTTTTCAATTTAAATAGAGTTATTTTTTGCTTGATCAGTCCATTATTTGTTTTAAAAACGTGGAGTTAATAAAGCGTAACCTATTAAAGGAAATAGTGCAATTGTTAATAATTGCAATTGCTCTATACCGCTATAAAAAAACTGCCTTGTTTCGAGAACAAATTCTATTCAAGCGTGAAGATTCTCCGTGAACACAAAACTAACATTTGTGTCAAAAGTAAGCTTGTTGTGGAAAAACCACCTCAACATCAGCATGTAATCGCCGCTGGGAATAGGTAAAATTAATAATTCAGGTCTTAAATAAAATCCCATCACATACTGCAGGCCCTGAAATTAGATAATTCACTAAATATTACATATTCATATTCTTATTAACAAACATCTCACCATAAAAGGGCAGGGATGATCAAAGTTTGAAAATTCCTTAAATAGATTAAATACTAGTTTTGAAAATGGGTCATAACTTGTAACGACAAATCGACAGACATCTACTTTCGTCTCAATTAGCCATGGCTTGTAACCGTTTTCTCGTTTAAATATCTTTGCGTGAACATTGATTTTATGGACGGGATGAAGAACAGTTCCATTAAGGTTTAAAACAACCTTGTTTCGACTAACTGCCTTTAGACGACAGTGATGGAAAATGAACCAGGTCTCGTTATAGCTCACACAGACGGCGTTGGTCATCTTAAAGACTACGGCATCCTAAAAAGGAACAAATTATATTACATATATATTTAAAAAAAAAAAAATACTTCGAGAAAAGTACCTACATTTTTATTCAGATGACTAACGAAAAATAGAATCACAAATAATCCTATGAAGACTATAGGACTTTCCATTGTGTTCCCTGATGAAAACTGAGACAAGTATTGCGAAAAATAGGATGATTTTGTACTGTCATTTTTTTTAACATCGAAATAATAATTTTCGGAATAAGTACTGACAACTAAATGTTTTTTTTTAAATGCCAATCATCTAAAAAGGTAGTCGAATTCAAACTGTATTTAGATGGAACTATATATAATATATTTCCGCTTAGGCTTCAGAATCATGCGAGCGATTTTAAACTAAATAGAATGATTTTTTTCTTGATCGGTGCACTAGTTTTAAAAACGTAAACTTAATGGAGCCCAACCTGAAACTCTAGGGAAATAGTGAAATTTCATTAATAGCTTTATACCGTTCCATTAAAAAGACATAATTTCATGTACGAATATTACTTAAAATTCAACCGTGAAGATCCTCGGTGAACACAAAACTAACATTTGTGTCAAAAACAAGCTTGTTGTGGTAATACCACCTCATCATCAGCATGTAATCACCACTGGGAGCGGGAAGAAACAATAGTTCAGGCCTTAAATAAAAGCCCTGTACAATCTGTGGACCCTGAATATCAATAACATTGAATAATAGTCCAATACTGTAGAAAAAAAAACCTTACCGCGTATGGACAGGTGTGGTTCATATTGGAAAATTCTTTGAAGAGACCATAAACAATTTTGCCGAAAGGATCATAACTTTTCTTCACAAATCGACAGACATCAACTTTAGTTTCAAATAACCATGGCTTATATCCATTGGCCTTTTTGAATACCTTGGCGTGGGCCGCGATGGAGTTCGCCGGATGAAGAATGGTTCCGTTCATGTTCAAGATCACCTTATCCCGACTGACTGCCTTCAGCCGGCAGTTATGAAAGATGAACCAGGATTCATTGTAGCTCAAACATACAAAGTTTGTAAACTTGAACACCACGGCTTCCTGAAGAAAATAAGGCTATATTTTTCGTATGAAAAGGTATTACTCGTCTTACACTAAATAGGGACCTCCTTATTTGAAAAACCAACAATATAGCAAAATACAAAAATATGAACCGCATTGTAAAACGGATATTGTGCAAGTGATCTACGGGAGAGACAGTTTTTGGTTATTGGCAGTAAAATTGCTTTTGGATATTAAACTAAGGTTCATTTAGATGGAACTAAGCTTTATATATTTTCGCTTAGGCTATAGAATCATGAAAGCGATTTTTAACAAAATAAAGTAATTTTTGCTTGAACGGTCCATTAGTTTTAAAAACGTTAACTTAATGGACCGTAACCTAGAAAACTAAGGAAATAGTACAATTGTATTAACAGCCTAATTTCAAGTAAAAATATTATTTAAAATTCAACCGTGAAGATCCTCGGTGAACACAAAACTAACATTTGTGTCAAAAGTAAGCTTGTTGTGAAAAAACCACCTCAACATCAGCATGTAATCGCCGCTGGGAAAAGGTAGAATTAATAATTCAGGTCTTAAATAAAATCCCATCACATACTGCAGGCCCTGAAATTAGATACTTCACTAAATATTACATATTCATATTCTTATTCATAAACATCTCACCATAAAAGGGCAGGGGTGATCAAAGTTTGAAAATTCCTTAAATAGATTAAATACTAGTTTTGAAAATGGGTCATAACTTGTGACGACAAATCGACAGACATCTACTTTCGTCTCAATTAGCCATGGCTTGTAGCCGTTTTCTCGTTTAAATATCTTTGCGTGAACATTGATTTTATGGACGGGATGAAGAACAGTTCCATTAAGGTTTAAAACAACCTTGTTTCGACTAACTGCCTTCAGACGACAATGATGGAAAAGGAACCAGGTCTCGTTATAGCTCACACAGACGGCGTTGGTCAACTTAAAGACCACGGCTTCCTGAAAAATAACAATATAATAATCCATAATTATTTGGGGTAAAAAAACAAACTCAATACTTTGAAAAAAGTACCTACATTTTTATTCAGATGACTAACGAAAAATAGTATCACGAATAATCCTATGAAGACTATACGACTTTCCATTGTGTTCCCTGATGCAAACTTAGACAAGTATTGCAAAAATAGGGTAATTTTATACAGTCATTATTATATTTAACATCGATATAATAATGATAAGCACTTAAAATTAACTGCTCTTTTTTTAAATGACAATTATCTGAAAAGGTAGTGGATTTAAATTTACGAGTTCTTTAATTTCTCCTGTAATTTGTTATAAGTCTATATAATGATACTATTTCTTCTATAAGGAGCTATAGCTCTTATAGATTATGATCAGCTTTATTACACGAGTGCTCAATAAATCAAATTATAACTAAATTATTTTGAAAAATTTTCTTCAAACGAAAAATAAATTCCCGAGGATATTCCAAGATCTGTAGAACAATTTAAATTACTGGAAAAGTACCATTTTATTAAAATTAAGTAGTCCCCAGAGGGAAGTGGAACCGGGATTTCCTCTGCAAACACCTGGACTCCCATTATAAAAACTGAACCCTGAAAAAGGCTTAAAAGAATGTGAAGCTGAACACTTTTTTGGGGGGAAACTTACCGAGTAAGGACAAGTATGGTTTAAATTAGAATGCTGTTTGAACCTGTTGAAAATGATGGCAGCTACCGGCATATAGGGATTTCTCAGAAACCTGCAGCCATCGAGGGTGAAGTTGTAAAGCCAAGGCTTGTAGCCACTCGCTCTTTTGAATATTTGGCCGTGAACTTTAGCTTTTCTTATTGTTTGAAGGAGCGTTACGTTGAAGTTGAGAGCCACCCAGTCCCTGCGAATGGCCTTTAACCGGCATTGGTGGACCACCAACCAGGATGGGTCCACAGAGCTGCACACAAAATTGGTGAACTTGAATTTGGACGCACTCTGAAAAGAATGACAATCCTTTGAGAGTCTGTTTGATCAAAAATTACTTGTTCTAACTCACGATTGTATCTTCATAAATTAAGAGACATAAAATCACCAAAAGTCGGGAAAAGCTTAAACGACTTTCCATTGTGTCCGCAGATGAAATAAAGTTATTTTGCTTTAAAAGTTGTTTTTATACTCAAAGTAAAATTATTTATATTTAGAAATAAAGATGATACAAATTTTTGTATAACAGTGCTCATTTTTGAAAGGTATAATTGTAATCGGTACTCGTTTAAGTGTAGAGTCATAATGAATCAAACAATTCTTATCAATATTTCCAGATTGTACTTTGAATTTTTAATAATTGAATGTTGAATATATAATTTAAACAGATTGTTATTAGTTCTTTTATATATAATGTTTATTATTTGTTTTGGAAAGATCCTCTGCAAAGGTGAAACTAATATTCGTGTCAAATTGAGGTCTCCGATCGAAATTCCATATAATAGCCAACATATAATCACCATTTGGTAAGGGACGAATTAATTTTTCAGGCCTCAAATAGAAACCCTGAAGTATCTGAGGTCCCTGAAAGGCAGTTTAATTACTAAATCATGTATTATTGGCTTAATTTGTTATCTTACCATGTATGGACAAGTGTGATTAATATTTGAGAATTCCTGGAATAAGCTGAAAATGATTTTTGCTACCGGATTGTAGTTTTGTTTTACGAATCTGCAGGTATCGATTCGGACGTTTACCAGCCAAGGCTTGTACCCATTATCCCTTTTATACAATATGAATTGGGTTAGGATCCTATTGGCTGGATAAAGGATTGTCCCGTTCATATTCAAAATGACTTTAGTGCGACTTATGGCTCTCAGGCGACATTCGTGGAACACGAACCAAGATCGATTGTAGCTTTCACATTGAAAGTTTGTGAACTTGAACACAACTGCCTCCTGCATAATACAATTCATAGTTTAAATAAACAAAATAGGGTATGGAAATCGTATCTTACACTCTGTTGGTAGCGATCCAATAAAATAAGACCTAGAACCGAAATTACAACAGTCGCGTGCCGCATTATGTAGCCTTCTGACGATTATTTTAGTTTCAGATAATTCATGATAAATGATAAGCCATACCACTTTTTTAAACATTTTTTTGCTTCAATGAATGCACAAATTGGCTTTATTAAGCGATTGCCTAAAATATACCCATATTGTATTATATACGCTTTATTGTATAATATATTATGTATCATAATTACTTAGCAATTATCCGAAGTAATTTACTTCAAACGAGAAGTATACGCCTGAGGGCAGTTCAGAAAAAAGAACGAGGTAATCCCCAGAGCGTACTGTTCCTATGAATTAATAGATCCCTAGAAGAGTTGTTTTAATATTTGTTCAGTACGGATTTTATTAGAAGACTGTACATCTATTCTTCGAACGAAAAGTAAATTCCCGAGGAGATTACAAGATCTGTGGACAAGTTTCGACTATTAGACAAGTACCATTTAATTAATATTAGGTAATCCCCAGAGGGAAGTGGAACTGGGATTGTCTCTGGGAAAATGTGAACACCCATAACATACACGGAGCCCTGAAAAAGTATTAATAACACAAATCAATTATTTTGGCTTTCCAGCTTATTGTTTGTAACTCGCCGAGTAGGGACACGTATGATTAAAATTCGAATTGTCCTTGAACATGCTGAAAACGAGGGCTGCAACTGGCACATAGGGTTTTCGGGCGAATCGGCAACCATCCAGGGAGATATTGTACAGCCAAGGCTTCCAGCCATTGGCTTTTTTGAACATTTGCCCGTGAATCCAAGCCTTTTTGACGGTTTGCAGGAGGGTCGCGTTGAAGTTAAGTACGGTCTTGTCCCTTCGGATGGCCTTCAACCGACATAGGTGAATTTCCAACCAAGATGGGTTCACCGAGTCGCACACTAAATTGGTGAACTTAAACTTGGATCCCATCTTTGTAATACATTTATATTTTTTTTAACACTGAATACTAATTTAAGGATAACTTGGTCTTGCTTACTATTTTGTGCTGATCAGCTATAAAATATATAGCCAGAAGGAGAACCAAGCTTTTTACGAATGTTCCCATGATGTCGGGCAATGTAGGTACAATGTTTATTTTTTTTTTGCTATAAAGACATTTTACGCTTGATAATTACTAGTTAATGATCATGCATTTGTTAATGTTTAAAAAGCATTTAAATATACTTATTTTAATATATCACAATTTAAACTTTTATCAAATTGTATTTCTTTAATTATAATTTATCTTAAGTCAGCTGTTGAAATGAAGTATAGTCCACTATTATTTTAGCGTTGTACCACAAACTATAATACTATTCGTCAAATGAAAAATAAATTCCCGTGGAAAGGACCAATTCGGTGGAAATATTTCGGCTATTAGAAAAGTACCATTTAAGTAAAATTAAGTAATCCCCAGAGGGAAGAGGAACTGGGATTGTTTCCGGGAACACGTGCACACCCATGACATAAACGATGCCCTGCAAAAAAAAACTTATTTTGAGCTTTACAGGATATTTTTGATAACTTACCGAGTAGGGACAGGAATGATTGAAATTGGAATTGTCCTTAAAAATACTAAAGACGAGGGCAGCTACTGGCACATAGGGATTCCGCACAAATCTGCAACCATCCACAGATATATTATAGAGCCAGGGCTTCCAGCCATTGGCTCTTTTGAACATTTGTCCGTGAATCTTGGCTTTTCTGATGGTTTGCAAGAGGGTCGCGTTGAAGTTGAGTATGGTCTTGTCCCTTCGAATGGCCTTTAATCGACATTGGTAGATCTCCACCCAAAATGGGTTCACTGAGTCACACACAAAGTTGGTAAACTTGAATTTGGCTGCATTCTGGGTCATATTTGTATTAAAATGTACGTCTTTAATTCCAATTTAAGGATTATGGGGCTTTACTTACGATTTTGTACTCATCGGCTACAAAATATAAAGCCAGAAAAAGAACCAAAATTGTTTTGCACGTTCCCATTGCGACAAGTTATGCAGATATAATGACTTTATTTAAAAAATTGTCATTAAGATATTTTTTCGCATGAGCAGATGCTTAAATAATACATTACGGTTGTTCAAATCAAGGTAGTCATTGGAAACTGATTTTAACTTTGTCATTTATCATTCTCTGGTGTTTTGCAATAGTATTATTAATATTTTTAATATTTATCAGAAAGTAAAGCCATGACTGTCAATTAAGTCATTAAAGTTGGTTTAAAGTTTATACTAAACTTACTTTGCTTTTATTTTAGGGAAATCAGTCTATAGAATCAGAGTCAGAATAAAACACGTGCCTATAAACTATTAGTTTTCATATGGATTTTGTCTTTTTTCGCTTTCAAGCTATATAGTTCGAGCCATATAGTCCCACTTGTATCCATGCTTATATTAGAACACGAACTCGACCAGTTCAGGGGAATGGCTGGCAACAATTAACCCATTCAATAGGCTCCAGAGCCCATTTGGAGTCAAAACCACGGACCCGAACAATGGAAATCTGGGGAACTGAGTGCTGTGGGGCCAGCGATGCGCATGAACATAAAGTTTAGTTTACTATATGTTGCATGTGTGCTGCACATGTGCAGCTTAGCCACCTGCAACCCGCAGGGGGTGGTGTAATGGTGGAGTAGTACCAGTCAGTCAGCTCGGGTTGCTGCCACATTTAGTTTAGTCTCAGTCCCGGATGAAGTGTTTCCACTGGCAGCTGCTGCGGCTGCCGAACTCACTCGCCACACATCATACAAACGACGACATTAGCCCCGAAACCTTAACACAATGGAAAATGGGCCTACGCATGCCTTGATTTTTGTTTACAGTCAGATACACTGTAAAAATCTATTAAATAGTACTAGACTATAAAGAAAGAAATCTTTGTAGAAAAATTCTGGAACCTCCTCTCTGAAAAAGACCATCGAAATGTTTTTGAAAATAATTCTGCAAGTCTGTAAATACTATGCCTGTATTTCTTTAAATCTACAAGACTTCTTCACTTCTCCATCACAAATTAAACATTCTGTCACGCCTTGAAACAAACTCGATTTATTAAGCCCAACTTTATCCATGTATGCAATTTTAATTTCAGCCACAGAATGTTCTTGGCAACCCTTTTCGTATTTCGGATTTTTTTGCTGTAAGTTTTCGGGGCTGGCCGGTGGGGCGTGTCCAATGGTTTTGGGTTTTGACTTTTGGTGGGTGTGTTCGAATTTAAATTTTTAGCATGTAACTCATTTTTAATGCAAATAAAATAATTTTTCGTTGAGCGTTGTTGGCACGCGAAATGGGTCAGCCGGCAGGGAAATACAAAGTGAGCGTGTGCCAGGTCGACGAGGGATTGATTAAATAAACCACCTATAGTCGGTAATATTAATGAAGAAATTCGAGTGTCCGACACTGGGAGTTCGAGTGGAGTTTCGATCGTGTCCGGGGGCGTTCGAGAGCTAATGAAGCGGAGTTCAGAGATCAGTTTCCGTTCGGCAGGGGCTTGAGGCTGAATCCAAACAAAAAAAAAACAGAAAAACAAAATGTTAAAGTAAGCAAAATCAAAAAATACCCGTACAAGACAGATGGCAAAACAATTTGCTGGCAATTTCAGGCAGCAAACAGCAGTTGGCCTAACATGCAACGTATCTAAGCGATACAGATACAAATACGCCAAAATTGAAATCGAATTGGCGCATAGAGTAGAGCCTGGGTCTTAGAATGCCATTGTGTCCGTATTCGTACATTGTTTGCTCTGCTTACTTGACTCGGCATTGGTTTTCCTTTCGTTCGCTCGATTTTTCGCAATTTTCCTGCTGATTTAGCAAATTTTGCTGACTTTTCAGGCCCCCTCTGGCTGCCTGGCTGGCTAGAGATAGAGACATGCATGTCACAAGCAAACAGTTACAAATTGCAACTCGATGCAAGAAGAATGTGCCATGATAAGTCAATAACTATTATTAACACACGGCGCGCAGTAACTCACAGGTTCCGATACAGATGCAGATACGTAGATGCTTAGATACAGATACTGTACATTTTCAATTGCCGCTGATTATATCTTTGTGGAGCGAAAGTGCATTTGGTGCCTTATCGATATTGAAATGTTAATGAACTGAAAATTTTGCGTGTCGAATTGTCGAACAGTTCGCGCTGGGTATAGTACGGTTTGTTGTCAGATCGCCCCTCAGATCGCGGCACCGTGATAATTGCCCAGACTATGCACAATGATATACCACTAACATGCCGCGATTGCTAGTGCCACTGTGATTGGAAAGGCAGCAACGAAAGACAACAAAGACCAAGACCAAATCACAGCCAAATCTGAAAACCCAGTCAAGACTTCACTTCACACTTCACTTTCCATTTTGTGCTTTTTGTATTCGGTTTTTTTCTGACGGCCACGCTTGAAAAATATTTCAATTAATGCAACAAAACAACATAAATCGAGTGGGCCAAATAAGAAATTGAGTGAGTCGTGGCTACAACAAAGGGTAAAAATAGATTTTCCATTTGCATTTTCTACATTTCAATCATTTGATCACGGCATCCATAGAATTACTATTCACATTTCCATTTACTTGCTGATTTTTGATTTCAATGTTGAGCCGAAAATATGCCATAAATTGCAGGCAATTGGCATGTGTTTGGGACGGCTTTTGATGATCTTGAATGTAGTTTTACAAAAAAATAATGCCTAAATAATATAAACACTGTTACCGGGTAACGTCATTTTTTAATTGCTTTATAAAACCCATTTTTTGATTACTTCTAATTGAATACTGATCGATTTTTGATCGAATACTCACTTATGGAATAAAATATGAAGTTTCATCGCTCAGTTTTGTAGTCAACTTCCAAGTGAGCCATTATAATGTGGTCGAGGGTCATTATTGGAATATTAGGAGAATTTTTTATACTTTTCAACCCACAATGTGTAAGGCAGTTAATCGAAAGTAAGGTGTCCTTCATTCATAGAAACATTTTCAGGAGGGCCTCGTATTTAAGTTTACCAACGTCGTCTGCAAGAGTCACAACCAGTCGTGGTTTGTATTTCATTATTGTCGTCTAAAGGCAGTTAGCCGTGAAAGGGTTGTGCTTAACATAAATGCAACGGCTCTCCACCCGGCATATGATATAACCTTTAAGGTCATCATTTTCAAAAAGGCCAATGGCTATAAGCCGTGGATTCTGCAGGGAACTATCGACGGGTGCCGGTACATGCGCAAGCCATACAATCCCGTCATAAGAATAGTCTTCGATCTGTTTAAGGAGTTTTCCAACATTAATCACACCTGCCCTTTTGTGGTATTAGAATGAATATTCAGATTAGATGATCTGGAAACTGACCAACTATGTATTACAGGGTCCTCAGGTGGTCAAGGACTTTTATTTGAGGCCGGAAGTGTTGCGGTTGCCCTTTCCTTCTGGAGATTACATGATGAGTGGCCAGTGGTACTTTGACAAGAAGCCCCAATTCGATACTAATGTTAGCTTCATGTACACCGAAGACCTCCTCAAGAGATCTTAAGATTACCTTGTTATATAATAAAATTTTGGGCAACCTTTCTCTGAGCAAGTGAAACCGATAGATGAAATGTGCGGGAATGTCGACGCTTTGGAATGGCGTGTCACCCAATCACCCATCAGGCCAATGTGCCTGATGTATCTTACGGATACGTGTAACACGAAGAAAATACCAGCCAGGCATTCATTGAAGCGGTCATGCCATGACCGACGTTGTTTCGATTTATGAGCCAGCCCACAACCCACGACATGATCCAGGGGGACGGATGGGCGTGTGGTTTGTTGGGGCTCGTCCCGGGGGTGGTGGCGGACTTGAGTGAACGATGGCTGCACATCAGCGACCACAAAACAAACGGCGACACTTTCAATTGCACGCCTCGAACTCAGACTCGGATTCGGATTCGGATACGGATTCGGGCTGAAGATTGAGACTGGAACTGGGAGACGTGGTCGCACTTTCTCGGTGTCGCGCTTTGATTTGTTTTCTTCGGGGTTTTCTTGCTTTATTTTTATGGCTTCTTTTGGCGCAACAATTTGAATGTCATTAGTGTCAGTGGCCGGCAGCTAACGGAGCTTGACACCAGCTCTTCCCCACCGCCCAGTGCACTTAAAAAAAAAGTTCCAGAAGTCTCAAAAACTATAAAGAACTATATTTAAGGAGGGCGGATCTTAGCAGAAAAGTAAAAGCCATATTAAGACCAAAATACTTTACCAAATCACTGCCTTTAAGGTTAGTTAGTCTTTGACTTCTCAGTGTGGTAATTTTCCCAAAGTCTCCACCCACTTTGTGATTTTTCTTTTTCACACTTTTCAACGACAACGTCCATCTGCGTGCCGCTGAACTACAATTTTAATTTAAAGTCACGTTAAACATTTATTACAATGCAACTTTTCACCTGGTCGGTCGGCTCTTTGCCAGCTTCGAGTTGCTCCACTTTTGGTTTTGTTACCGAATCGCGCTTGCCCGAAAGTGTCGCTACCTCCATTTTAATGCCCGGCAGATCATTAGCGTACCCTCCTGCCGCTCTTATCTAAGCGGCAACTACCCACTGTTGTTATTAGTTTTCCCTCTGGACTTGGCAAGTAGTTTCTCCAGTGGAAAACGAAAACGAGAAAGACAAACCCAACCCATTGTTCTGGTACAGACTAGGCCCTATGTAGTGCTCCACAATCTAGATTCCACTTGCCTGATAAGTTAATACTCTGGCTCTGCTCTGGCCTGCATTTGCTGCCCCTCTTTAGATCAAATCCCCGATAAATATTTAATTAGGCATTTTGCTTTTACAGAACGGTTCGGTTATTGTTTGTCCCTCGTCATCATCATCATCGTTTCCAAAGACAACGATCGTCTCTCTATAAGCCACAGAGCTCTGTTTGTTTTCGCATTAGATGATTGTAAACAATGTGCGAAGAAGCTTCCAGTTGTGATGGAGTGCCTGGGATTAAGGCTGCGATCTTGAGATCATGAAGATTGTCTTTAAAACTTTAAACTCACAAAAGCAATAAACATTTGGCGAATCGAGGAAATATCTTGAAGGCTCAACTAGGCTATATTAATTCATGAGAGTCTATGTTTCTATTTTTTAATGTTGGCACAAAAGTATATAATATTTACCAACTATGTAAACAAAAAATATTTTCTTTTAGTGACAAAGCCGTAAACTCACTTCCTCTTCAAAGAAATAATTTTCTCTTGTTTGATTATGTTTATTTGCTAAGCAAATACATTTTATGGATTAAATTCTTCAGACTCTGAGCAGAGTGATGAACTTCCTCCTCAAGACTCCTCAAAGCCTTTCCCTTGTTTGGCACACAAGACCCAGTACGGATCGCTGACTTTGGAGTTTGCCTTTGAAGTTGGCAGTTGCCGCCTTGAATCGGCTCTAACTGCGGCTGCTAATTAGCTATAACAGACTCAGAGACAACAGTCAAGAGTCAAGACAATTGGCTGGCATTTACGCGCCAGCCGGCTGTTGGTCGAGAATGCCCTCCTCATCCTCCGCAGAAGACACCTCGCACTCTCTTCCAGTTCTCGGCATCGTCATCATAGTCGTCATTTTATCAATTAATTCAGCGCCTCGGCCCATACGAAACCATCTTGATACAATTTGTAACCGAAAGCCGGCGAAAGGGGACAGGGGCTGGCTCTATCTTATGTTACCGCCTCGGCTTTGGTTCTGGATCTCGAGTGGACTTAGTGCTTGGCGCCAACAGTGAGATATACTGTGACGGCGTTTTATTTTTCTAGCCATTTATATCTAATTATCATTTGGTTCGGCTAATAATTATTGCTAATGCATTGGCCCGGAGTGAGCCGGGCCGTCAGTTTGGGAAAGTTGGCGGCGGGTCTCTTATGTAAAAGGCAAAGTCAAGCTCTGGCTTTCTGTGAAATTTAAATTATTGCAATTTTCTGCTAACGTCGTTGGCCGACTGCGCTTGGCCATTACAGTAAGCCGATGTCGCCGTGTTGTTAGACGACCTCCATCCTATCACTGCACCTAGAGAAAAAAGACATCAAATTGGTGTTTGATTTATTATAGATTTCATTTTAAGACTCTCATTAAAGAATCTGTAATTTATATAGTGTCTTTGCTGATTCTAACATCCTCTTAAGTGTAGTTTTAAATCCTAGCTTTTATATCTTCCTGTGTAGTAACTACAGTAGGTTCAGACCTCTGGTCGTTGTTAAGCATTATAATTTCAAAGTTTTGCTTTAATTGTTGTTGTCTTTAGCTTTGGCCAACTAACCATTAGATCTAATGCCTGCAATGCTGTTGTCTGATGCATTTTATATGCAAATTAGCAACCAGCAACATCGGCGACGAATGCCTAACATCACAGAGTCCATGTTGATTAGCCTCGTGCCTCGGATCTCGAGTCCTGTACCTCAAATCTCTGCCTTGCATCTCGAGTGGCTGTCTTCTCCACTTGAAAGAGACGAGTGTTGAAAAACTTTGGCATATGAGACTCGGCAGAGATTAGAATTCAAGACCATTATGAAGCCATTCAAGCAAATGGAGAGCTTTGCGGCACACCGTTCATAATTAGTATTGATGGCGAAATTCCTTAGGAATACTTTTCACTTAATCTAGCCCATAGAACCCTAACCTAATGATCGGTTCCAGCTAGGGATTTGTTTGGTTTCCATTAAAACAGGAAGCCATGGGCCCACCTAATACTTATCAGCTGTCAGTTTGGCCTCGTAATTATGATAGATACAGGTCCGATGGAAACTAAACTTCCCCGGGCAGTAGCCCGCTTGTGTCGCAACCTTTTGAACCCACTTTCTGTGGAAAATTGGAAGCCAGCCACGATGCATTCATAAAAATTCAAGAAAGTATAGCTTACTTTGGGGAAGACGAAGTTGATATACCCTTCCAGTTAAGTGACAGTTTTTGTTTCTCCATCGGAGGTTTATTATCATACATTACATAAATATATTGAAAATATAGTCGGATATAATCTACAAATCATTAAATTCAATAAATTATAATACCCTCGGCAAGGGTATAAACAATTAATAAATAAGCTCGATTACACGAGTGGGGGAAAACAGCAGCCGCGCCGCAGATCTCTGCGAGAATACTTAATAGTTATTAATTAGTAGGAGGGAATGAAAAGCGTAGCAAAACGATCAAAAAATACCGGGTCACATCACATCGAGGGGAAGACAAAAACAAAAAAAAAAACAAAACAACTTAAAGTCGTAGGCCGACAGATGGATGACGAACGATGCGGATGACTATGTGGATGTTGGATGCTCCACGAAGATGATGATGACTCTGGCAGAAGTTTATAAGATTGACCCGCATACCAGCGTGTGGGTCCCAGGCAAGTGCCGCATCCACATCCACGTCCATCCACTCAGAAAGGCAGACAGTCGAGCGTCAGTCAGAGGCAGCGAGGTTGAGGAACCCAGAGAGATAAACAGAGTTGCACAATTAGATAAAGCATCTTATGGATGCACTTTGATGAATGTTAATTGAACTACACGCTGTACTTTTCGAGCATTGTTCAGCTGTCGTCGTCTGGCAGTTGAGGAAATGCCTGAGAGTTTTTGTAGATCCTTCACGGATGCAAGACCAGAATGCCAGAAACTGGCTCATCATTTCATCTTCATTGGAAACCGTTCCACTAACCGCCGACACCTGCCCACTCGTCGGCGGCCCGGGGTTAATGGCTCTTAAATGAGGCTAACACACATTCCGACACGATATTAATAATATGCGTTTATTTCTTTCAGCTAATGATATCGGACACCTCCGATGTGCGTGGTGCGTGGGTGGCAGTTGGCTCCACTGACATGCGGTTGAGGCACTGAGACTGACCCGAGGCCGAGAAACCCGCGTAGGAGTGACTCCGCTCCACTGCCATGTGAGCTAAGCTCAACCCATCTCCAGTCCAAAACACACAAACCCCGCAGCGGAAAGCAAGCAATCTTAAAGCCCGGAGCTATCCGGTAGGTAGTCGATATACTCAGCGACCAATGGAGGCCACCGAACAGGACCTCATGCTGGAGGGCGGCGAAGACCTGATGTCCACATCGGCCACGTCCGCGAATGGCGATGACACAAATGGTTGTGGCAGGAAGTCGGTAAGTAGATCAGCTCTCTATGGATGATTGGGAGTCCTTTGCTTCGAAGCTTATCCCTAAAAACAAATACCATAAGCAGTTTTCAGTGTGTTCCCCTAATAAGCAGAGTCACAGACCCTTTGTTCTTCTAGAAGCTACACTTTTCACTTCTTGGCCCTCCAGTTGGCTTTTGTTGACGGAAGTGTTTGCGAGTCGATGGATGGCCATGCATCGCTTGACTTTTGCCATGCCTACCCATAGACCAAGTGTATTGGCCAACTGGGTGTGTGCGTGGGTGGTTGGGTGGGTCAAAGCACTTGAAGTTCGACTGAAAGCCGCTTAGAGCGTTGCAAGCAGTTAAAAGTAAAAGCACGCTCGATGAAAGCTGAAAGTAATATAACAAAAAACCAAGTACTTTTTTAAAGCGTTTGTTCTCGAGAACCAAGGGAATCATAACATTTTCTTTCCCAATTATGTAAGCTTAAAATACCCACTCTCCGATCAGTAACAACACTCTGTGGGATTCGCAGACGTAAACAACATCTGACTCATTGAACTGAAGAAAAATAAATTGTGAATAATAAATCACATAAGGACTCTCACAGCATTTCAAGGTTTTCCTCGGCCTGGAGTATTTAGCCAATCAGAACTTCCATATAAGTCACCGCTGAATATTTTATGCAATTAAAGGCAGTTCAAGGCAACACCAACAGCCAGCTTAATAAGCAGAAAAAACGTAATAGGATTTAAAAGCAGAAAATAAAGTAAAGGCACGAGTACGAGTGTAAACAGCCACTGCCTGCCCACACATCCAGTCCATATAGACAACAATGGTCACACACCCTGGACATCTGACATTTGCATTTGACTCCCGATCTCTCCATTGCCTGCCAACTGTTGCCTCTCTGGCAATTGAAGGCAATTCATGCTAATTAGAAATTTTATTACGTTTATTGCATTTATTGTTAATTGCAGTCCATAACCTCGCCGGATCCCACATCGTACGTGGCCAAGGCTCGAGTTACGCGGCCCACGCCGCCGCCTCCGTCGAAGAACCCGATGCAGTTCGTCCAGATCAAGCCCTGCAATCTGTACCAGACCGCCCAGCAGCAGCTGAAGAAGGCCGAGGAAGTCAAGAAGTTGAAGGAGGTGAAGAAGGAGGAGCCCGAGGAGTGGCAGAACGTAAGTCCATATCATATACATATATCACTTCGAGAGGGAAAATCACTTTCTAAGTCGTGACAGATTTTCTTTATTTTTGGGGTTAGATGCATATGATACTCTAAAGTAGGTTGAACTTTATTCTTATAGATCTTTAGATAGACTATCTTAAAGATTGATTTTTCAAAAGAGTATATGGAAGTATTAGGAATTTCAACACAGTCTACATATATCTCTTATAACTTCTAGGGTATTTGAAACCTTGTCTTCCTAAAACAGCCTTTCTTTTGGCCATTTGTTTTGGCCGTCTGAAACTTATCGCCGCGGATAACCAAAGTAAAGCCACTTGGGCATGGCACATGGCACACAGCTCGTTATGGTCGCTCCAGTTTCCAGTGCACGTCGTCCAGGTTGGCGGACAAAAAAGTTATTGCATTGCATAATCGCAACTATTACATTTTGTTGATAGTTGTTTTCTTTGCCGCCTGCATGGCTTTTTGTTTCTCCGTCCATTTTCTTTTGGCAAAGTTGTGTGTTACATGCAAATTGGCTGCGACTGCCATAACCCCGGTGAAATGCTGACTGTACCCAGCCTAATTACCTAATCCAGCCATTTTGATGCAGTCGCTGCATTTGAAGTGGCTTTGGTTGATTTAGCAATCCTACCTGAGCATCATGTTCATCGATGGCCGGCCAGGGAAGTCTCACAGGTTCCCAGACATACCACATTGGCCAAAAATCTATTAACATGCGTATGGGGTATTGGAACTGGGTGACTGACTACTCGATGGGCCAACATGGGAAAGGAAGTCCAAAGCGCCGTTTTAATGGCTCTCAAGTGTGGTAAATGGCTTTCTTTTGCTTTGTCTCGACTTCTAATGCGAAAGCCTTTTAATCACCCAAAAAAAAAATCGAAATTTGCATTCAGAATGGCTCATCGAAGAAGAAACGATCGTGCCAGCCAGCCGGAAGCTCTCATAACTGTTGAGAAAACGAGGAAGCTCAAGAGCTCCGATATGATTAGTAGTTTCAGTCAATCATTATCTTTAAAAACCAAATATTTGCCATAAGAGCTGAAAGATATTTAAATCCGTTCATTCAATCTAGACTCTGATTCAGGTAAACCAACATTCTATATGTATGATGGTATAATATACACTTTTTATATATCTCGGAAAGCGGAGACGGTAGTCGTTAAAATAAGCAAAGTTCACGCGCCTCGGAAGCATTTCACCTTTGTCACGTAGTTCCGTAGCTCCGTAGCCGAGTCAAAACTTTTTAATTGCCATCAAAAGAAACTTTAGCTCTTCCCCACTTCTACAATGCGAAACCGAATAATACACTTACACGTCTGCCCTTTCTTTATTTATTTGGCATTATATTATTATTATTATTTTCTATACTAACTTTCGCTACCTTTCTGCTCCCAACAATGCAAACCGATGACAAATAATAAACCGAACCGACATCATCACACAAAAACAGAACCTTGACAATTGGAAATCGTCAAGGCGAAAACGTGTCGAACACATCATCGATCGTGTGGTGGAGACGAAGAAACTCGAGCTGGAGGAGCATGATCGAATGCGACGAAAATCGAAAACATTCACCGAAATGATGGAGGAGAGGCAAGTACCTAGTTTCAGATTCCTCCAGGTGTTTAAAACTAATACCATGTCCTTGCAGGGCCGAAAGGGGAGGATCCCGTGGACGTGCCAAGTTGGCCTCCCTGGCGGTTTACAACGAGGACGAGGCCAACGATCTGAGCGATTTGGGCATCGGAACCAGCAGCGCCAGCGGCAAGAGCAGCCTATCCGAGGATTACGACAATAATAGCGTTATGGTGAGTAAGACTCCCTGAAAATGGAGGTCATTGTAAGGCATTATCAGAATAGTCAGTGGCAATGGCATCATTAGCACAATTTCTAGTCGACTGGCCATTTGGTATTGTTTCTCTTTTTCTGCCCGTCTTGGCAACTTTTTCATCTCTTTTTTATTTGCCGTAATTAAGTGTCATTTTGCTTGTGACGGCGTTTATAAACAATTACAACAAATTAGTAATTAAATCTAATTTATAAACAATGTGCCGGCGAAGCCGAAGCTTTCAATTTGGGATTGGAGGCTCGTTGGAAAGTGTCGGCTGCCAAGCAACGCGATGCGACGCGGGCTAATAAACACAAATGGTTTATTAATCAAATGTGCACACAGCCACATGAAAACCAGCCACACTAATAAAATCATAATCATAAATAATAAATAATAAACAACGAACGAACAGAAGCTCGGATTCCGATCGCGATTGAAACTGAAATTGAGCGCAAGATTGAACTGCGGATTGGGCAATTAGACCCGCTTGTCGCCGGCTCATAAAATCTCGAGCTGGAAAAGTGGAATATTTATGGGGAGACCCAACCCCAAAGGTCCCTGAGATTACAAAGAAAACAGACAAGAACACCAGGTTACTAAATTAAATGATTTAATGCTCTATTGCTCCCGATTTATTAAAGTTTTCTTCCTAGAATATTCCTTACTAATCGCTAATCATACTATTTAACTTTCAGAGCGACCATGCCGCCGAGCTGGACAAGGCTATAGGAGCTGCCGGTTCTGGAGCTGCCGGATCCGCCTCTCGGAACATCGACGAACTGCAAAACCATATCAACCGGAATGGAGGCAACACCAACCACGGCAACGGAGTGCCCATTGGCCAGGCCAGCACCTCCAAGGCAGCGGGCAGGGAGTACATTTCCTCGCCGGGATACGACACCTCGTCGAGCACAGCGCCGGCCAGTTCGCCAGATCCATGCGAGTACACCTACGAGGGAGCGATCCAGGACTACAAGCAGCGCGTCCAGAGGGCCAGTAGCAATGGCAATGGCAACGCTAACGGAAAGGCCAACGGAGAACCCATCGCGTATCCCACGCGACGAGGATCGAAGATCGAGGACCGGCTCAGTGGCTTCGAGGTGACCTCGCCCAGCGACACGCAGGAGGGCGTGGAGAAGCAGAAGGTGGACGTGCCGAAGGTGGACATTTCCAAGCGCAAGGAGATCTTTGAGCAGGCCAAGGCGGCTCCATCCAACGGAGCTCCACCCACCGCTCCCAAGGTAGTGCTTCGCGACCGACTCACCAACGGAAACGGAAAGTCCAATGGCAGCTCCGCCGGAGCCACCAAGCCGGATGTGAAGCGCTTGTCTGGCGACATAACCAGCATCCGAGATCGCATGCAGAGCCTGGAGCAGCAGCGGAATGCTTTCAATTCCAGCAAGAGTGTGGATGTGCCGGTGCCGCCACTCAAGCAGCGGCTCAACAGTTTGCAGCAGTCCGTTACCAAAGAGGAGCACAAGAAGCCGATGGTGGCTCTGATCGATGCCCGCCAGCTGGAGATCATGAGGGGCGAGGAGGAGCGCATGCGACAGCAGCAAAAGGAGCAGCAGAAGCAGCAGCTCCAGGCCACTGTGGTGGCACCGCCAGCACTAGTTGTGGAGGAACCGCCCGTGGTGGCCACCAACGACGATAGCGGCATCCACGAGGACACCAACGACGAGCTGCAGCAGCAGCAGCAGCAACTGAATGCCGCCATTGCGGCCCTAGCCCTGGAGGAGCGCCAGCTGGAGGAGGCGGCCAACGCGGTTAACCAGATTGAAGCTGAGTTCGACGAGCTCACCGACCTGAATCCCTCGCCGCTGCCGCCTTCGCCAGCTCATCCATCAGTCCAGGCAGCATCAGCTCCACCAGCACCCTCAGCAGCTCCGACTACATCTTCAATTCAAGCGCCCAACCAGCCGGCCGCCGCTCCTCCATTGCGGGACATGGAATTTAGTGTAAGTTCTACTAACAATTTTATCGAATCCGCTAAGTTAAGTCCTAGTGATGTTGATGTAGTAGCTGCTTCAGCGGTGTCGGTGTCCAAGTCTGGTCCCACTCCCCCACCCACATCCACACCCACTCCGCCGAATCCCGGTTCCCCCACACAGAATTGTAACTTGCGTAGAAAGCCCTCCAATGAAATGGTCCATCACCGAAATTTGTTGAAAATGTTCAAGGAAACCTTTCAGAATGACGATGACCTGAAAGAGTTCACCGAGCCCACTGTCACCTCTCCTGGGCAGTTTTCGCAGGTCTTTGATTTCACCAAGCAGCCTGTACAATCAGTACAGACTCCACAGCCTATCCAGCCTGTGCAACCTCCACAGCCTGTGCAACCTCCGGCACCTGTTGCCGCTTCAAGTCCTGTGCCTACCCAAATACCACGACCTCTGGGCAAGCCGCCCATGTCGCCCAAAGCGGTTAGATTGGCCACAAGCCCCAAGATTCAGATTAATTCAGCCAGCCAATCCCCTACCAATCCGACCACCCAACAGTTTAGCATTAACGGCCGTGTGGAGATATTCAATTCGAGGCAATTGGAGAAACCTCCGACGCCACCGGCTCCTCCTAAGAGATCTGTGAAGATTGAGACATCAGTCAGAGAAGAAGCAGCCCCTCTACCCGAGGTAGTGATGTGTGCTCCACCCATGACCATTGTCAATCCCGACGAGCTGCCTAAACCCAATACAGTGAAGGCCTTGTCCAACTGCTTCACCAAGACTGACGCAGTGGTGCCCACTCCGATCACCTCCCCCATTATGTCACCCAGAGCCTTACCCCGGAGTCGCATTCCCCAGATTACGCCACCAGCTTCTCCGAAACCTTCAAGGAGAGCTCCTCTGGAACTGCCCTCCAGGGATGTGGTTGATCGCGATTCCGGAGACTATGCTCCCGTGATGGGGGAAACGAAAGCCATTGTGCACTCCCCACCACCGGTGGCTAAGGCCAATCACCCTCGCCCTACCGGACTACCCATAGATCCGCTGGCCCCCAATGACGCACTGTACCTGCACTCATCGTCGCCCTGTGAGCTGGCGCCCTTGAAGGCCTGCACCCCGAATGAGTCGAGCCTCTTCAAGATGGTCTCGTCCAGACCCACATCGCCCTCGGTGGAGATGGAGGTGGCTCTGTGCCAGCAATTTCTAGAACGCGAAGCGCCCAAGGACCTCCAGCTAGCCGAAGAAGATCGCGTGCGGCTGGAGAAGATGGCGGTGGAGGAGGTGCCCTGTGATAAGATCGATGCAACCAAGTCGCCGCTACGCAGCACTGGTTTCCAAAGTGTGAGCGAGGAGCGGGTGAAGAAGTGCGACGGAAAGATTGAGCTGCCAAAGGAGCAGCCTGAGCTGGAAGAGGTGCCCAGTAGGGAGGACATTGCCCTGTGCGCTGGGCTGCTCGATTGCCTGGCCCCTGCCCAGGAGCCGATTTGCGACCTCATCGACGTGAACAAGGTGCCAGTGCCGGCCACAGGCTTCCAGGATGTCAGCGAGGCGGAGGTGAAGCGCTGTGATGCTGGCGGAAAGAGCTCTGTGATCCAGTCCGCCAGGCCCAGTTCGCCCATCGGCACTGCCAGGGCAGCCCACTCGAAGGCTCTGATGGACACCTGTGAGAAAATTATTGCGGAGGAGCGCCTGGCCAGCAGCCAGATGATGAAGACCTCCCTGCCGGAGGCGCCCTCGACTCCCCAGCTGGGCCGCAAGTCCAAGATCCCCATACCCAAGCCCTGTTGCATTTCGGCCTCCGGAACGGACTCGATCAGCCGAGCTGGCTATGCACCGACTGCGGCTCCAGCTCCGACGGAGCAGCCGCTGATAGCTCGCACTCACCTGGTGGAAACGGAGATCAAAGTGAAGGAGATCTCGCCACCCAGCTCACCCAAGCCCCAGGCGGAGAATCCGACACCACCCGCTCCCCCTGTGAAGGAGAAGAAGACCAAGAACATATTCGACTTTCTGCGCCGGAACTTTGGCCACCACGAGGAACCGCAGCCCCATCCCACGCTGAACGAAACGCTCGAGAAGAAGGTGGTGCTCACCAGCACCCGCAGCGGCGTGGACGTGGTGAATGCCGATGAGTTCGTCCGGGTGGACAACTCCAAGTTCTATGTGCCGAACGAGGAGGAGGACGGAGTAGCGCCTCCACCTCTGCCCAAGACACCGGCGCCGGTGAACATTGAGATTCGGAAAACAATAAGGACCGATGAGATTCTCGAGGAGAATACCACCGAACAGGCGCTAACTCAGGAGATCAGCGATCTGCTGGATGACGAGATCATGAAACTGGAGGCAGCCGGTGCTGCCTCGTTAAAGAAATAGGATCTGTGTAGGAGGAATACTGAGATCTGCTGAATCAGGGAGTGATGATACGTGATCTCTCTGCCTTAAGGAAAGCCTTTACAGCTTTAAAGCTGACGAATATATATTAATGTCCTGTGACCCATGACAAAGGGCTCTCTGAGATTCACCTAGTAGGATTATCCAAGTGATACATTCGGAAGAAGGAACAACGAATTCAACTGAACTTGAACATTTTTGAATCAAAATCAACGAATCAAAATTTCAAACGAATTTATTTTCACACAAATTATTTATTTTAGTCTGGTTTTTGTTATTTTCTATGGATTATGATATTATTCGATTCAATTCGATTTCTATTCGAACATTTTGTTATGGGCTCAAGCTACGTAAGCTACAGTTTTTCTTTATTTTAATATTGTATCTATACTAAACCCTGATTTATGTATAAAAACAAAATTTGATTTAATGTAAACGAAATGTCAAACATATGTTTTATGGTTATATATTTTAAAAACAACACAATACACAAAAAAAAAGAAACAATATCGAAAACTAATACGCGCTAATACACAAAAAAATGGAAGATTTAAACCTCAAAAGCATACCAAATAATACAAATGAGGAACAAATATTATAAATACAAATGAGATATAATATACTGTAATATTCATAAAATAACGAAAACGTTTTATTTAAAAACCGAGTCACCGCATAAACCACATTCCACATGGCTTCCACATGGTCTTACGATATTCGCCAGAGCGCGACGCTAGGTGTCGCTTTTGTAGCGAGGTAGAATACCTTCTACGCCAGTTGTGTAGAATTGCTGTAAATATTTTAGATTATAAGTTTAGAAAACAATTAGAGGCATTTTAGGTCGCTAACGGCCAGAAGAACGCAAGGATCCCTACTGCTTTCCCCTATCCAAGTCCCCGGCTAAGCCCTGGATTCCCCCACCACCAACCCCCTTGCCCGAGGTTGAGGCTACGTCTATGATTATCTTAAATATGGCTTTATGTATCATGCTATCTGATCGATTGATTCACTTTTAAAATCTCTTACATGCCTTGCGCTCGTTTGTTGGCTAAATAATGTAAAATATGATCTATCTATTAATGCAGTTACATAGTTTACATGCTTACTGCCAGCAAAAGTTGTTGCAAGTATACAATTTCCGAGGTAAGCGGTACTCTCTAACTCATTCTCCTTCTGTTTGTGCCCCTTGTGTTTGTTTTTGTTTGTTTGTTTCCTTGTTGGCTAGTTGTGTTTACGTTCTAAGTTGCATTGCATGTTTTTGCGTTTTTTTTGTCCCCTTTTTTAGCACCTACATTAATACCCGAAATGCCAAAAGTCAGCCTAGTGGGGTTTCAGTTCACCCGGAGGTGCCTACTTTGGGGGGTCGCACCAACCACGTATTTATCCAACCCCTCCGTCTATTGGTGTAGAGACCCTGGAGTGCTGCCTCCGCATTTTTGCCGCCCCATATACCTTTTCTCCGGTTCTTTATCTAAACGAATCGCCCGGATCGATTCGCCGTTGCAACGCCGACGTTTAGTCGTCTCTAAGCCCTCAACGGTTTTGGTTCGGTCGGATGTAATTCCCCCATACATATTCCTTCATGTCTGCCAAAGGCTATCTTTATGGCCCTCTGATATAGTAATAATAACAGTCATATATAGTCGCGCAAATAATTCGCGAGTGCGGCCACGGATATCTGTAGTATGTCCCAAAGATACCATCCAAATCGATTGCAGCGCTCCAGTTCTTTGGACCTTTTCGATCGTAAAGCAGTGGTAAGAGCGTCCAGCTACATACTATAGCTCTTTATGCAAAATGTTTACCCAAGTGCTTCATCCATTAAGCTAATAAACATTTCCAAGAAACCCCTCCGGCAAATCTTGAAAATAATCAAATGGCTGTGATCGCATTTATTGAATCCCTGAAAAGGCAGTAAAAGTGTGATACTATCCTATTTCTCATCTGTAACTGGTATAGAATTCCTATATGTAACCCTGTTTGCCAAATACCACTTGGGGATTAGCTCTTATCTGACTTTTGCGCACTTACGACTGACAATTTCAATCCCAAACTGTCCCAGATAGCCGTAATTGGTTATCTGGTGGCCCATTACAGCTGCATTGAGTGCAAACTTTGTGTTTATTTTGCAAAATCCTCTGGAATCGATAGGCATGTTCCAACTAGAAATTGAGGCTTTCTCCACTCCCTTTATAATTAATTTGATTTTATTTAATTTGGTTATCTTTAGTTGACACTTTTTTTTAATTTGCAAGCTAGCCTCTGTGTAAACTAACTGAAATTCATGCGATCCGTCCGCATTCTTCTCTCTCTCTCTGTTATGCACGCTTTTGATGCTTTCTCGCTCGCTCGCTCGCCACGCCACGCCCACCTCATAACGCCCCCACAGATCAACGAAGCTCTTGAACTGGCGCTGGAAGCAATCGACCGCGAGGGCACCACCAAGCCAATGGACAAGGAGCAGCTGGAGGGTAAGGTGGATCAGCCGAAGGAGAAGCAGCAACAGGATCAGGAGCAGGACGAGGAGCCAGTACAAGAGCAGGCTAAGGAAGAGGAGGAGGACGAGCTGCAGAAGGAGGACGAAACATGCAACAATAATGGGGGGAAGACAGCACACACCGAGGGCGGGGAAATACCAAATAAAACCGACGAACAGAAGCGCCAGGAGGAGGAGAATCGCGAACGGGAGCCCATCTACGAGAATGTCAGCTCGACCATATCTATGCACGAAGTAGATAATGAACAGATAGCAACACAGACACCGACACAGACCCAAGCGACGCGTAGGAGTCACAGGAGAAGCATTCCAAACAAGCAAACCAGCAACAACAGCCACAATAATGAGAATAATCAGAGCCCTAATCAACCCAACAACAACAGCAACATCAACAACGGCAACCAAAAGAGCAGCAACATCACCGGCAATCAAAGCGAGGCAGTAGCAGCAGCCATGGACCCACCACCAGCAGCCACACCCGGGGACTCGGAACCGTACTACCAAGTCCCAAAGGCCACGGAACCCTATTACGACGCCCCCAAGCACCTGAGACCCGTTCCCGTCTACGAAAACATTGAGATCTTTTACACGGGTCTGGAATTAAGTCAGGTATCCGGAGTGGCAGCTCCACCACTGCCCATGGAGCCGCCCAAGGAGAAGCCGCCACCGCCGCCCACCGAGAGCCCACCACCAGTGCCGCATGACGAGGGCCACGACGATGAACTGGACGGCCTGGGCAGCAGCCTGGGCCACAACACCGACACCTGGTCATCGGACAACACCTACGAGACCATCTCGAATGGCACGCGCCGCCAACTGCAGAGCGGAGCTCTGGTAGATCCCGCCCAACCATCGCCGCCCATCAAGCGGATGAACTCCACCAAGCGCATCAAGAAGGAGCTGCGCAACAAGCGCTCCAGCTTCCTGGGCATCGAAACCGACGGCGATCTCGACGACATGGAAAGCTATCTGGAGCTCACGGTGGCGCCACCGCCAGACATGGCCCAGCTCCTGCAGGAGGAGCGTCGTCTGGAGAAGCAGCTGTACATCAAGGCGGGTCTCTGCGACAGTTCCGACACAGGTGAGTGGTGAATCAATATGACAGTGGGGCAGCCCACCCATAACTAGCGATAGTGGGGCTATCGGTGGGTTTCTGAAAGAAAACCGATACGGAAAACCAATAGGCGTGAAAACGAAAGACAAACACACTGAACAAATCACAAAATAGGAAAAGAGAGTGGGAGGAACAGGAAGGGTCAGTGGAGGCGACTGGGCCAGAGGTTGGCCCCCATCTGCCCCCGCGAGGTTAAGTATAAATAATCCGTTTAGTGTGCGTGGCCCATGAGTTGTCAGAGACCGGGCTGGGGCGCTTCCCCGTTGGGTGGTTGAGCCAACAATGATGACAGTTTTTCAAAAATAAACTTTTTAGATGACTAGGCAGACGATGGAGGAAGAACTTTTAAAAGAATCCTTGCTAAACCCTTGAAATTTTCTTAAATTCCTTCAGGCGAAAGCCGAGACTCGGGTGTTTCGGAGAATCATTCACGCCAGAGCAGCGAGCACTACACCAACTCGTCTGAGGAGAACGACACCCAGTCGGAAGCTACCCCGCCACCGCTGCCTCCGCCGCCGGCTACCTCTCAGTTGGGAGAGGTGATCTACCAAAACGAGAACCTTCTGGCAGCCCAGACACCTCTATTGCAGACGGTGAAGGGCAACTCGGCCGAGTCCTGGACGGAATCGGCGACAGCGGCTGCGGCAGCCACGCAATCACTGAGCGAAGCCACCGCCACCGCGAATGCCAAGATGCAGTCCATCGAAGAGAAGATTCGGGAGCAGGGCGAGGTCTTGAGGGTGGAGCGAGAACTATTGCACTTTTCGGTGAGTAAAAAAAAGAGAGTTATAATGGAAAATGCCAAAAACTTGAGGTAGAAACAGGAGCTCATAAAAATAAGTATTTTATTGCAAGAAATAAATCACTAGTATACCTTATCGACTCGATATTGTCAAAGTAATGGCTTTAATGAGTTCAAATATTGTATAAAAAGCTATTTATTGTCTTACTAATCTAAGAAAAGACTACCCATTGATTTTTTATCAATCTCATATATCAAACTTTATTACGCAGAGAGAAATAGATACTATTTGGTAGAACCTCTACAACTTTGGCTTTCTTAACTCATTTCCCTTTTAAAAATCTTTGATTAACAATGAAATTCTAATGAATTTCCAGAAAGAGGAACTGAAAAGGCAGCGGGAGAATCTGCTACTCCGGGAGAGCCTGGCTCGACGGGAGCTGCAACATGGGGCAAAGATGCTAATGTCCAACAACCGACGATCCCTGCAGGACCTGCACCATGGCCTGGGTATCGGCAATGGCATGTTGAGCGCCTTCCAGCCACCCCAAGTCCACCAGCAAGCGCTGCACCCCCAGCAGATCTACGCTAATGTGCCACAGCAGCAGCAGGCGGCATTGTATGCTTACCACCAGATGGACACCGACTACCGCAAGTCTATGTCGGACCTCAACGAGTTCTCCAACCGCCTGATGCTGCCGCCAACGCCGCCGGCCAAGCCTCTAAGGGCGATGCACCTCAATGCCAATGGCCATGGCTTGGAGCCCGACTATGCGGTGAGTTCGCGGCAACGCCAGCCGGCTGCTCCATATGGGGGCTCTCTGGTGAAGATCGCCGGAGCACCAATGGCACCGCGTGTCTCTGGCCAAGGATATCCAGTCCAGGCTCAAGCCGCGGCTGCTTATCACCACCAGTCGGCGCAGAACTTGAGCAACATGTCGCGCAACACACTGCTGGCCCTGAGTGCCACGCCAAAGCCAAAATACACAGATGGATGGGTGCAGGTGCAGCAGCGGAAGAGCTACGACAGCAACAGTAACCTGGCCAACGACCCGGCCTGGCTGTCCGCCCAGCAGCAGAAGCGCAAGTCCATGCCCGACTACGGCCGGACGGTGTACAACAACAACCACTGGCTGCTCCAGGAGGCCGAGCAGCGGCGCATCGATCAGCTCAACCGACGATCCATGCCCGCCACCAAAACCAACGGCAAGCCGCTGCCGGACTCGATTATCCAGACGCTGACGGAGCGGGTTCAGAGCAAAGGCATCGGGGAGCGCAAGCGGTAAGACACATTGCTGACCATTCCTTCCAGGATATCTAAAATATTGTAAAATTTTGTAATTAAAGCTTTGATGGCAATGGCAACTACAGCCAGGTCAACGGCAACAGCAATATCTACCAGCAACCTCAGCAGCAACAGCCACAGCAGCAGAAGACCAAAACCAGCAACGGCAACATCAACAGCAATGGAAGCGGAAGCGGCAGCCAGGAGAAGGTGCTCAGCGTCAGTGGCAAGAAGAAGTGCTCCCATTGCGGAGACGAACTAGGTAAACTTTGCTACTACGTTGGTTGTGAGTGTTGTGGTTCTTCTTTTAACTCCTCGCCCCGACTCCCAACTCACATCATTCGAGGTTGATACCATTTCTAGGCCTGTTTTCAAAGCGAGCATCATAAGAATCACACACACTCCGACTCACTAGTCTCACGATTGGTTCAAATTAGTGATCATTTAACTAACTATCCTTCTTAACCCTAATTTGTGGAAATATCTCACATATATGTTGCTAATCTCTTTGCGATTACATGTCTGGGCCAGATCTGGGCTGCACCCACGACAATTGTCGGCAAGTGCACAAAGCGCTCAAATATATTGTTTGGGTGTGACTTAACAATGCCAAAATACTGAATATTAAACTCTATATCTATAACTAACAAAGACTTGATTAATATAACTAAGCCAAAATATTTGCCTTAAGGTATTGAAGGTGGAATCTTTCCCTGTAGCTGAACTTCGATTACTAATATGGGATTCCGTTTCCACAGGTCGAGGGGCTGCCATGATCATTGAGTCACTGCTGTTGTTTTACCATATCAACTGCTTCAAGTGCTGCGTCTGCCATGTCCAACTGGGCGATGGCCTGAACGGAACCGATGTCCGGGTGCGGAACCACAAGCTGCATTGCCAGAACTGTTACTCCAGCGACGACGGCATCAAGTTCAGCTGCGTCTAATTGCATCCATTTCGGTTCGAAGGAAACGGAAACGGAGATGTTGTTGTTCTTGTTCTTGTTGCTATTGCAACATTGATTGTTGTTGTTGTACTAGTAATACATAGATACTAACTACTGACGTAATTCGTATGTTCACATATGCATATACCTTATATAAAGAAACTATATATATATATTCATGTTGAGAACAAAGTCAAATGCAAATCGTTTCAGATTAGTGTTAATCGCTTCTATATAAGTACGAAATTTTTTGAGTGTCTTTGCATTGCTTTTTGACTCAGATTTTAACGTTTTATATACGATATTCTAAATGTTTAATAATCCGACAATTTACATACATATATATATGTTTAAAAAGCCTAGCTCTCTACAGTTTTAAGCCAAGTCAAAGTCAAATTTCAAACTACAAGGATCTATTGAGTGTTGAGAATTATAAATGGAAAACAAAAAGAAAAAATCAAAAAAAAAAGTTCTATGAACGTTGTTAAAATTTAGAAATTGTATATTGCCTACATAGATATATTGAGAGATAAACGAAATAATTGTATATTAATTTTCCGAGCGATGCTGACCTTGTCTCTTTTCAAACCCGATCACTCGGGACTTCTAATTCTGATGTTTCCATGTACTATGTCTATCCTACACACACTAGCCCACATAGAATACCTAACGACGTATCCAATGTACCTAAAATTATTTACAAATACCCATACACATGAAAGCAAACACTAACATAAGTGCATATTAATATATACTTACATATTACCTACTTACACAAGTGCATATAACGTGAAAGATTTATTTCTAATTGTCGTTATTCTTATTTATTGTAATTAAGCATATAAATCAAAAGTATGGATATTTGACAAAGTTCTTGAATTTTACGAATAACTTTTAATCTTGATCGGTATATGAATAATTTCTCTGTAAAAAATACAGCCAAGAAACCATTTGAATTTCACATAGTTTTATAATAAAGTATTTAAATGAACAAAGTTTTTGGTGTATTATTATTTGAATCATAACTAGAAGGAGTGTCTAACTAGTAGTGTCTATTATTAGTAGAAAACCCCTTTTCAAGGGATCCGTCAGGAAAAATGGAAAAAAATCTGAAAAATATTTTGTTTCAGGATTTTGATGCTAAGTGGTGGAGAATCGATCTAGAAATCGTTTGAGGTACTCCGCTTGAGAATCGGATGAGAATTGGAAGAGATATAGCCATCGCAGTGGGCCCTATATCCGTCAGGAAAAATGGAAAAAAAATCTGAAAAATATTTTGTTTCAGGATTTTGATGCAGAATGGTGGAGAATCGATCTAGAAATCGTTTGAGGTACTCCGCTTGAGAATCGGATGAGAATTGGGAAAGATATAGCCATCGCAGTGGGCCCTATAGGGGAAAACCCCATTTTCAGGGGATCCGTCAGGAAAAATGGAAAAAAATCTAAAAAATATTTTGTTTCAGGATTGATATAGCCATCGCAGTGGGCCCTATAGGGGAAAACCCCATTTTCAGGGGATCCGTCAGGAAAAATGGAAAAAAATCTGAAAAATATTTTGTCTCAGGATTTTGATGCAGAATGGTGGAGAATCGATGTAGAAATCGTTTGAGGTAATCCGCTTGAGAATTGGAAGAGATATAGCCATCGCAGTGGGCCCTATAGGGGAAAACCCCATTTTCAGGGGATCCGTCAGGAAAAATGGAAAAAAATCTGAAAAATATTTTGTTTCAGGATTTTGATGCAGAATGGTGGAGAATCGATCTAGAAATCGTTTGAGGTACTCCGCTTGAGAATCGGATGAGAATTGGAAGAGATATAGCCATCGCAGTGGGCCCTATAGGGGAAAACCCCATTTTCAGGGGATCCGTCAGGAAAAATGGAAAAAAATCTGAAAAATATTTTGTTTCAGGATTTTGATGCAGAATGGTGGAGAATCGATCTAGAAATCGTTTGAGGTACTCCGCTTGAGAATCGGATGAGAATTGGGAAAGATATAGCCATCGCAGTGGGCCCTATAGGGGAAAACCCCATTTTCAGGGGATCCGTCAGGAAAAATAGAAAAAAATCTAAAAAATATTTTGTTTCAGGATTTTGATGCAAAATGGTGGAGAATCGATCTAGAAATCGTTTGAGGTACTCCGCTTGAGAATCGGATGAGAATTGGAAGAGATATAGCCATCGCAGTGGGCCCTATAGGGGAAAACCCCATTTTCAGGGGATCCGTCAGGAAAAATGGAAAAAAATCTAAAAAATATTTTGTTTCAGGATTGTGATGCAAAATGGTGGAGAATCGATATAGAAATCGTTTGAGGTAATCCGCTTGAGAATCGGATGAGAATTGGAAGAGATATAGCCATCGCAGTGGGCCCTATAGGGGAAAACCCCATTTTCAGGGGATCCGTCAGGAAAAATGGAAAAAAATCTGAAAAATATTTTGTTTCAGGATTTTGATGCAGAATGGTGGAGAATCAATCTAGAAATCGTTTGAGGTACTCCGCTTGAGAATCGGATGAGAATTGGGAAAGATATAGCCATCGCAGTGGGCCCTATAGGGGAAAACCCCATTTTCAGGGGATCCGTCAGGAAAAATGGAAAAAAATCTGAAAAATATTTTGTTTCAGGATTTTGATGCAGAATGGTGGAGAATCGATCTAGAAATCGTTTGAGGTACTCCGCTTGAGAATCGGATGAGAATTGGGGAAGATGTAGCCATCGCAGTGGGCCCTATAGGGGAAAACCCCATTTTCAGGGGATCCGTCAGAAAAAATGGAAAAAAATCTGAAAAATATTTTGTCTCAGGATTTTGATGCAAAATGGTAGAGAATCGATCTAGAAATCGTTTGAGGTACTCCGCTTGAGAATCGGATGAGAATTGGGGAAGATGTAGCCATCGCAGTGGGCCCTATAGGGGAAAACCCCATTTTCAGGGGATCCGTCAGGAAAAATTGAAAAAAATCTAAAAAATATTTTGTTTCAGGATTTTGATGCAAAATGGTAGAGAATCGATCTAGAAATTGTTTGAGGTACTCCGCTTGAGAATCGGATGAGAATTGGGAAAGATATAGCCATCGCAGTGAGCCCTATAGGGGAAAACCCCATTTTCAGGGGATCCGTCAGGAAAAATTGAAAAAAATCTAAAAAATATTTTGTCTCAGGATTTTGATGCAGAATGGTGGAGAATCGATCTAGAAATCGTTTGAGGTACTCCGCTTGAGAATCGGATGAGAATTGGGAAAGATATAGCCATCGCAGTGGGCCCTATAGGGGAAAACCCCATTTTCAGGGGATCCGTCAGGAAAAATTGAAAAAAATCTAAAAAATATTTTGTTTCAGGATTTTGATGCAAAATGGTAGAGAATCGATCTAGAAATCGTTTGAGGTACTCCGCTTGAGAATCGGATGAGAATTGGGAAAGATATAGCCATCGCAGTGGGCCCTATAGGGGAAAACCCCATTTTCAGGGGATCCGTCAGGAAAAATTGAAAAAAATCTAAAAAATATTTTGTCTCAGGATTTTGATGCAGAATGGTGGAGAATCGATCTAGAAAGCGTTTGAGGTACTCCGCTTGAGAATCGGATGAGAATTGGGAAAGATATAGCCATCGCAGTGGCCCCTATAGGGGAAAACCCCATTTTCAGGGGATCCGTCAGGAAAAATTGAAAAAAATCTAAAAAATATTTTGTTTCAGGATTTTGATGCAAAATGGTGGAGAATCGATCTAGAAATCTTTGGGAAGACATAGCATTACAAGTAAGTATTCATAACATGGCTAATCCTTAGCTCCAAATACGTTATTCCTTCCCTACATCAGATCTTCGAGTTGCATCATTTTAAATAGCAACGTACTTTTAAAAAAAATTTTGTCTAAAACGTTTCTTAAAAATTGTATATTGGCATAACGGTAATTTAAAAAAAAAAGTGTGCTCAACTTTTGAACAGAATTTTTTTAAAAATATGGCAGTTCTAAAAATCCAGCAAATCCTAAAGTTTTTTTTAATTTGTCAACCCTAAATAGGCCCCTAAAGAGTATAAAAGGCGGTACTGGCCTGGTCATAGTTCAGTCGTGTTCTAGGTCCCACAGGACCTAGTTATTATTTCTTCTTAATTTATATATATTTATTTCTTTTCGATGAATTTTACTGTATTTTATTTGTTTGTTTGTTGTTTTGTTTTTGTTTGTTTTACAAAAAATAAACCTTTGATATTTTTTGTTTTTTATTTTATTTTAATTTTGGCTGCTGCTGCTCTTAAGCTTTTCCATTGTTGCCATTTCTTAAGTCGCCTTTGAACTTTATTTTTGTCGCTTATATATTCAAAAATACCTATTATGTAATTTTGAAGTACAAGTAATGTTTTCAACATTTAGAACTATCTGAATTATATTTTATTTTAAAGATTTTATATATTTTTTTTTATTTTTGTGTTAGTTTTATCAGTGGATCGTTTTGACTTCTGCCATAATCTGCGCCAATTTAAACAATTTTTGATTCTCATAAAGTATTTTAAGATGGGTTGTTCTGGAATTTTACTCCATAATTTTTTTTTTTTAGTATCTCCTATCAATGGATGATTTTGACTTCTTTCATTATTTGCGCCAATAATTTAAACAATTTTTACTTTAGTCTTTTTTAAGATAGATGCTTCGCCCGAAGTAAGCTTTCCTTTCTTGTTACAGTCCTTTATACGAAAAACAAACCATTAAAAAATGTATGTTCCTTTCGTTCAGGTTCTAGCAGGTATATAACGATTCTATTGCATACTTTTAGGAGCCGAATATCTAAATATTTACATACAAGACACCAGTGGTCTTATTTAAAAGAATAAATAAAACAAAAACATACAAAAAAGTGTTTAGTACTTTGACGTTTACCAAATTTAGTTTCAGAGACATGGTGGTTTTCCGAGCATTTTATTATGCATAACTTTTAATAGAAAACATAATCAAATACACTGTTTTTACAATTTTTTCTTAATCGAAATCCCCACCTCAATTTCAAGAGCATCCTAGGCCGAAGGCAAGAAAGTGAGTTTCTCGTTGAGCTGCAGCTGGGTCTTGATAAGCTGTGAGAGCGTAATAACCAGCAAGAGGTTCCGCACGTTGGCGTTGAACATCTGAGTGAACTGCTCGTGGGTCATGTGCGGCACGGAGTGAATGAGGTCGAGGAGCTGCCGACCGACAGCGTTGTCCGGTGTCACCTTGTGGGCGATCACATCGTCGACGTACTTCAGGATGAGGTCCAGTAGCTGCTGCAATTTCTGAGAGGCCTCGGAAATCTGGGCCAGGTCCAACATGGGTGGCACAGTCTTGGGCCTGTGGGCGGGCGAGACACCAACAGTTTTTTGGAGCAGCTTGAGGCCAAAGGTCTCAGGCTCGTAGCTGGTCAGCTCGACAGGAATGGGTGTGAACATGCAGCCGCTCTTACCGCCAGGCACTCCTAGTTGGATGCAGACATAAGCGCGCAGTCCCATACGGCCGCCCTGGAGCGACGTGTCCACCGTAAGATGCACCGGGTTGTTGCATTCGCGGGCGTAGTACTCATGGATAACCGAACTGTGGTTCGTCACATCATTGCCGGTGGCCCACCACCCCACGACGCTTTCGTTGGGGTTCACCTTGCGGTTCAGGTCGTACATGTCCATGGCATAACTGAGCTCCGCCTCCACCTGATCGTCGTGCTCCTTGTGGGGCACACAGAAGCAGTTGGTCACCTCCACCACTCCCTTCTCAACGGATCCAAGAAGGGTGCCGATGACGCGGTGAGAGTCCGCGTTGCGGCGCTCGTAGGCGTCCACCACCTGAAAGAGCACCACCGGGTGCACGCGTACGGTCAAGTTGAGGGCCGACATCTTAGTTTATTTGCCGCTAACGATGATTATGAAGAAATTTTCGCGAAAATTTCTATTCAGCCACGCTGCTGGATTTTTAGGGATGCTAAAAAGGGATGATAAAAATATCGATACATCGATAATATTTTGAAACTTTTTTTAGTTGGTCACTCTTAAAATTTAATATAAACTTAAACTTTATTTTTAATTTAAATAAAGAATAAATTTTTTCCCGTTTAATTAATGGTCGTAACTTTCTGAGGAGTCCTTATGGATGACTAATTCAACCTTTAAATGAAACAAAAAGAAAAAAACTTGGCAGCACTTGGTAACAGTTTTAGAGAGCTGGCAGCACTGATTATTCTATACTTTATCGCTACATTTTTTAAATTAGATTAGCATACTTTCACATTTTCTAGATTTAATAGTAACATACATACCTCAATATTTACCTTTAGATGCAATAATGATAATTACATCATTAATTATATTTAGAATCTAAATTTTAGATGCACCTATATAAAACAAAAACACATTAACCAGAAAATTAGGTTATTTTTCTGTTTAATTGATTTATATAAATACATACATATTAATCATACAAATTTAAAACTCATTAAATTGAAATTTAAATTCAATTTTCTTCGACTACATTTGAGTCAGTCGCAAATAACAAACTTTGAGATACGACAATAAAATGTCAAAATTCTGGCTAATCAGTACTATTTGCGGATATATTCTTATATTCAACTTGATTTTTAATGTGAGTGTCCTGTAATCTTGCAGTCCTTCAGGTGGAAAACCCTTAACATTTTCTGAATTTTAGGATGCAGTCATATTTAAGATGACAAACGTGGCTTGCGAGACCTATAATAAATCATGGATGACATTTTCCCAATGCCGGTTGAAGGCTGTAAGTCGGGATCGGGTTCTTCTGAATATACGAGCTTTCTTGCATTATCCAGCTAATAGAATAATGGTTCACGGGAAAATATATAAAAGGGCCAATGGCTACAAGCCTTGGCTTTATGACAAAAAAGTGGATGCATGTGCATTCATTCGCCAAAAATCCAACCCACTTATTGTTTTAGTGTACAATTTGTTCAGAGAGTTCTCTAATATAAACCACACTTGTCCTTACGAGGTAAGAAAAATACAGAAATCTAAATCTACTGACAATTAATATGTAACATTTATTTCAGGGTCCTCAGATTTTAAAGGATTTTTATTTGCAAACCGATCTACTACGCGTTCCTCTTCCTACTGGCGACTATATGTTGACTTTGCAGTGGTACATCGATAATAAGCCACAATTCGACACAAATGTTTCCTTTTCATTTGTCGAAGATATTATATCTTAAAAAAAGGCTTTCCATATATTAAAAAAACCAAGGCCTTTACATATAAACACATTTTATTAAATACGATTTTTGCATAATGCACACTTAATATAAATACGATCTGTACTTTATTTGTATTTCTACTTGAGATTAGCCCTTCTAGAAACGGGCTTGATCGCTAGAATTCCATGCACTTTACTGTCTGGGACATAAAGTCCATTAAACAACTTGGAAACAGTCCTACCACACCTCGCACTTGTGCACAGGATTCATGGGCGAACCATCTGGACACTGGAAGTCCTTGGCAAAGTCCTTCATATTGCTGAACGATCCGAGGACACGGAACTCGGAAGGCGAGTGTACGCCTGTGGTAATACGCATCTTGAGAGATTCTGAAATAAATTAAACAAAAATTAATTTTATATTTATTAAATATTGCGTTTTAACTGTTATAGTCTTACCTTTACGATATTTGGCGCACCAGGTCTGACCAGCGGAGATCCAGAACATTTGTTGAGGTGAGTAGTTCAGTCCAGGCAACTTTGGCTCCTGACCATTTTTCTCCACCCACCTGTGGTAGGCGATATACGACTCCTTAACGCCACCATTGTCAGCGATGTTTTCACCCTGTGTATTGATTCCATTTAGCTGAAAGAGAAAGAACCGCCCTTAAAAAAATTATCCTCTTTGAAAGCTAGATCTATGACTTACATTCAGACCCGTGGCACGCTCTGTATAGTTACCGTACTGCTCGATGATGCACTTGGCCTTGGCCAGGTAGGCCTTCTGGGTGTCCGGCTGCCACCAATCCCTCAAGTTACCCTTCACATCAAACTGACGGCCCTGGTCATCAAAACCGTGGGTTATTTCGTGACCGATCACGTATCCGATGGCTCCGAAGTTCATGTACTTGGGACGCTGGGCATTGAAGAAGTGTCCCTGCAGGATGCCAGCAGGGAATTCTAAGGAAGCAGTAACATATTAGATGTGTACTGGTCACGGCAGATAACTAGTCACTTACGTATGCTGTTCTCCAGGGAAGAATAGAAAGCATTAACAATCGCAGGACGAGCGTGTCGCACCCAGTCGGTTTTGTTTACAGGAAGACGGAGCTTGTTGAAGGAGTAGTCCGTGCCGAAAATGTTCATGCCCAGGAAGGATTCGAAATACTTGTCTGGATCAATGTCCAGTTTGGCGTAATACTTGGCGAGCTTCTCGTTGTCTAGCATCTCGTCGGGATAGCCGATGTGGGTGGCCATGCTGTGCAGCTTCTCCTTGGCCTCCTTTTTCGTCTTGGCGTCCATCCAGTTGACCTCGTCCAAGATGTCGTTGAACACGTCCCGGATTTCGGTAACCATCTTAAGGGCATTCTCCTTGGAGTCCTGGTGGAAGTGCTTGCGAACGTAGAGGGATCCCACGGAAATACCAAGGCTGGGATTCGATGTGATACCATTTGATTAGATGCACGTGGAGGTTATCAAATCAATGTGATGTCGGTTGTTGTTGTTGTTGGTTGGTTGATTGGTTGTAGTTGTTGTTGTTGTGCAGTTATTGAAATGGTGAGTTGAAGAGTTGCCGTGAAAGTGGAACACAAAATGAATATGCATATTAGGATTGGTCAGAAGACAGGGCTCTATCTGATCCGATCGAGTGGGGTGGGTCAATGACCAGGCCAAAGTGCTTCTAACACAAAACAAAGTAATGTGGTGGTAAGGACTTGGCTAATGAGTACTTATGGGCTCGAGGAATGAAACTCACATAATCTAATAATGCTCTCTACTATTATTTACAAATAGGACATCGATTCTACAAATATTTAAACTGGCACATCAAGCAAATTATGATTTAAAATAACTTCCAAATATTATTCTGAAAACTACTATCTCTGGTCAAAGATTAAAACAAATATTTTCCAAGTGAATGGCTTTAAGATAAGCGCCCGAGAGAATATTTTATGAAATTATTGTGTGTCGTTAGACCTTAAATCACAAATATTAGCTTAGTTTCAACGGATCCATAGATAACGCAACTAATTGGGCAATCGGTTTTAATCTTTGCATGATCGTGGGTGGAATTAGTGTGCATTTTGTTTGTGTGTGCGATGTGTGTGCTTTGTGGGTGGGTGTGTTATTTTTCTCGTTTCCCGAGACAATTGTGAATGCAATTCGCTAAATAAGTACCTATCGTAATCTTCTTCGGATTCTTCATCCATGCTGCAAAGTCACAAAGAAATCAAATGGAGATACAGAAACAGGACATACAAGATACGAGAAACAGGCAGCGGTGATATCGCAATCCCCAAGACCGTGACCCCAGGGGTCGGGGCATCCCACCCACTAACCTGCCAGTGGCAATGTCCACGCACTCCTTCCAGCGAGCCTCCTGCTCCTGGCGACCGGACAGGGCCGTGGCGTACTGCAGCTGCCTCTTGCGGAACTCCTCGCTCAGGAATCCGATCGAAAAGCCGTGGATCCTCCAGAACATGTAGTTGGCAATCACCCGCTTGGGAGTCTTGGCCAGCAGCTTTCCGAGGTCTTCGAAAAAGCTTGGCACCGACAGGTTGATCATCTCGTCCTCGGCCACGTTCAGACCCTCGGGCAGAAGGGCGTTCATGTAGTCCACCCACTGGACATACGGGTAGGCAGCCTGCAGTTGCGACGGGGTCCTCAGGTTGTACAGCTCCGAAGAGTTTCGGCGCTTCTCATTAGGCCAGGAAATCTGTGGGATAAATTACTGTAGCCACATCGTTTTTGTACTTATCATGTTTGGACTTACGTTGGCCAGATCTATCTCAAACTCGAGGGAACTCAGCAATTCCTTTTTGGCCAGCTCCTTGTCAGCTCCGAAGAGCACGGCCACATCTACCATGTAATCGTAGTAGGCCACCACTAGAGTCTCATTGAATCCCTTTACCAAGTACTCGCGACTCAAGGCCAGAGACGACTGATCCAGCTGTAACGAAATTTATGTAATGTAAAAAACACTTCAAAATTATTTTTAGTTCTTCATACGAACATCTATCAATCGCTTTGTGCTGTTTTGCAGATCGACTCCAATGGAAAAGTCAATAATGTAATCCATGCTGAAGCCAGCGGCCCTGAATTTCTTGACCTGCTCCTGCCATGTCCAGGTATCATCCGCATTCCAGCTGTCGCCCTTGAGAAGGGGCCATCCGCCCAGTTTCTCCGCTACCCGGGTGATGGGTAGAGGACCCAAGGACTCGATAAGAGCTGTGGAATATTAAATAGCATATATAATTTATAAATATATGGTATAAGATAGGCTTTTTTCAAGTCAATATTTTTTGTAAATACTTTTTTCTATAAAAGTTCCTTTTCACTTGTTAAATATAAAAGTTAAGCAACAAAAAACCATAAGTTTAACAAAAGCCCTTAGAACAAAACCAATTAAATTTGTAGAGATTTTAAATGTTTCTCCTACATTGAAGGTGTAGTTTCACAAGTTTCCCATATTATTTAATATTTCATAAGAAGCTAATAAACTTCAAAACTTTGTTTTGCAATTCCAAGCAGTTAAATATACAAAAACGTCAGCTTTTATTTGTGTATTTTTAACTTGAGTTTGTGAATGATTTATGAAGAGTTAATATTTAAAGTAGAAATACTCACTCTTGTTCATGCAGGCCTTGTAGAGAAGGTTTGGCAGGCGGAAGTGCTTTGGCTCCCTTTCCGGTCGCTCGGCGGTAATGATGTCCTTCAGCTGCTCCTGCAGCTTATCCGAGATGACGGAGAACGTGCTGATCGACACCTTGTCGTCGGGGATGTTCTCCTCCTCGAGGTAACTGCCGCAGGCAAACTCGTAGAAATTGTCGCAAGGCTCCACCTCGGGCTTCATCTTGCGGATGACGGTAGACGCAGTGTGGATGCACTCTTGGGTGAGGCAGACATCGTCTGCGGCAGCAGCACCCGTCTTGTCCTTGGAAGGCTTGCCCATGGGCACCCTGTTGATGACCGTGCCATCGCTACTTAGGGCAGTGGCTTGTGGAGACTCTCCGTCCTGCTTCGTCTTCAGGAAGTCCGAAGCCCAGAGACCAAATCCGGCTGCCGCTAATACGAACAGTATCCCGCTGACAATCAGCAGGCTCCTCTCCAACTTGGTGCGACGACGCCACCAGTTGGGGTTCCTGCAAGACCATAATTGAAATCCAGATTGAGATTTTGCCAAGAATTGATAAAGAATAAAGATAAAGTATTGACATTTCCTTGAGTAGATGCTAATTGTTGGAAAAGAAAAACCTTTTAAGAGCCATTCACAGGCAAATAAAAAAATTCCTTTACATGTACATTTTGTTTTTAATTGTTAAAGTGTAGTGGCCACCGTTCTAGATTCCATGTGTTGGTTAGAATTTAAAGCTCCAGCACGTCGTAAGTAATTGTTGGCTTACTTCCGATTTGCCAATAGATCCGCTCAGCCGGCTCTAACGCCTGGGGAACACGGTTTGGCAATTTATTGCCACAATTATTGTTGCTGCTAACGTTGTTCAACTGGTCAAATTTCGTATACATGTTTGAAAAGTCATTTCGGCCGGCGAACTCGTTACGACACCCATATTTATTTTCATTTTTAATTCAGTCTGTGGGTACTGGTACGGAGTACAACGCACACCACTGCCCTGGAAGCTCACCCACACGGCCACGAATAACTTTTTTTTTTTTTTAATGTCCGGCCGTTTCCGTGGTCAAAGTGTAAGTATATCACAACGCTAGCAAAAACAACAATATCTCTATTCAGTACAAAAATAGGTTCAGAGAAAAAGTGATGAATTTTTGCACGCTTCAATTATTGCTGGAAATTGTAAAATAATAACGCCGAAAAAAAGGTTATGGCTTTGGACCAAAGATGCTTTTAATGAGCGATTAAGTCATGGGCCATGAATAAAACTGTTTACGGGCGATTGGGTGGAAAGGTCAGGTCCGATGAGCAGAATCCCCCATCTGTATAAAAGCCATTAGGTCTCGCCCAATAGTTTAAATACTGTACGTTTCAGCAAAACCATCAAAATCCATGCAAAATGTTCTTCGATAGATCAATTATCCGGTTTAATGTAGCTGAACTTTTTCCCTAACGCTAATGACAGAATCGCAAGCACCAGAAAAAATTTAGAATGACTAAACAAATAATGATTAATATGGATGTGGATTGGGCTCTTGAAAATATCCATAAATGATTCTATACTAGGCACGACGGATATGCCAAAAATATTTACATACTTGATTTATTGAAGCATTTATTAACCATTTGTTAAATATAACTAATTTATTCTTTTTTCGGACTTTTGGCCCGAAGTGCATTCAAGTCAAGTAATGTCCGGTTAATGAATTCTACTAAGGTAAAATAAGAAAAAAACTCGAACGAATTGCGAAATTTTGTTAAGTAAAATAATGTCAATCAGTAAACCAGTTTTGTAATGATTTGACCATTTTTTTGGCCAGCGACTAATTGCACGTAACGATACGGAATTTACAAAGTTGAATGACATTTCAGGTCGGCCTCAGATCGTTCTGGGTTTCCTATACCCAACAAATTTTAGGTAAGCTTGGGTTATATTGTTTGAATAAAAATAAAGACATTTGAGTTTATAAATATATTAAAATATAAAAAAAAATAGAGCATCTAAAGAATTTCATAGCTTTTTTCGTTAATTTTAGAACTTTTGATTGGCCTACAGGTCGTATGAGTAATATTATTGTTGAGCCTTCTAAAAATGGGTAACTCCATTGTGGGTTCAAGAACAAATGCTTAATATGTTCTATATTTTTAGCTTTTTTAAGTCAAATGAGTGCGATTTGGGATTATGAGGAATCAAGAACACATGTTTGATACACTGTGTTTTTTTTCATAAAATGACGAACCATAGGCTTACACAAATTTAACTAATTTGAATGCGGATTAACAATTGCCGACTTGCAAGTTTTGCGTTGGACTTGTGTAATCCCCACTCGTAATTTCTGAACCGCCAAATATGAGATATGACTGATCGTTGCCTAACCCAGCCCATCACCAATTAGCCAATTCTAGGCGGAGATCGTGCCGCAATTCCTTCGCCCTTATCGCAGGCGGAGATCACGACCGCCTGATAGATCCCAGAGATCTCTCAAGAACCTGTCTCGAATCCGGATTATGCAATGTCACCGGATTCCCACCGGCGTATCAGCGTACCGTATCAGAGATGCACCATGCCGCCGAGCTGCTAGAATCTCACTCGGCTGCTGGGCTGTGAATACACAAGTGTTACCAACTTTATATAAGAGGCATGTGGGGGTGGCCAGCTGTGGTAAGGGGCGAAAAAAAAGAGGGCCGGGCTTGTGTCAATAGGGCGGCCAGTTTGAAGCCCTGCTTTTGTCTAACGTCCGTTGCCCAATAAATGTGTCAAGTGCAGGCGGTGTGCCTCTGTCATTGACGTGGCAACTTTGGCGTCAGCCCTCCCCCTTTCCGCCCCACCACTCATACTCTTGCCCCAGCCCCACACTTTCGTAACACACGTGAAATCGCACATGTGTTATTGTCGTATCTGTAGCTGTATGGGTTTTGCCATCTGTATCTGTATCTGTGTTGGCTGAGTGACGTTTGGCAACATTTACGTTTACGGAGGGCGACGTCTTTATATTGTTTTTGGCTTTTTAATACGCTTTTGATAGTTTTGGTGTCGCATGCCGTTGCCTTTATTAACATGCCAAGCCATGATTGACAGCCAAGCATTTGAATTATTGCCTGCCCCCCATTACCGTCCCTATCCCAGAAATCCCCCCTCAAAAGGCAAACGCACTTCCTCTGGCCCAATCACCGTTCGCCTTGACAGAGTTTCCAATAGTTATAAACTTTAAAAATATATACATATAGATGTAAACAAAAACTGGTTAAAAGCTGAAATGTTTTGTAGGTTTCATGGGAAACTAATCAAGTTTTGGTTAATAAGTCATGAGTGATAACTCCTAAATCAAATGCGGGAAAAACGTACATTGGAAGTCAATAGTAACTTTTCTCTATCAAGTTAAGGGAATGTCGGTCTAAGTTTTTTTTATTCCCACAAAGTAAGAAACCATTTTTAAAACATTACTTAAGGGGGGAAATACAATTAAAAGGCCTAAAATGAGGCCTATCTTTGGGAGTGGATTGCAAGTAGGGAATTGAATGAATCTTAGCGATTCTTTTTGCATGTTATTAGGAAATTATTGGGCAATGAAAATCAGTCAAGTTTTTCGAAAAATATTGTAATTAAGCCCATTTATGATCAATAATGTAGAGTCGTGTTTTGGGGATAAACTTTGCGCCGTGCAGTCTCCAGGCCCAGGATCACGTCTAAAACAAAAAACAACAACTGGGCATTAAACTTAGAGGTACAGCGCACAACATGAATTATTTCATATGTAAAAAAAAGGGTTTTTCCATGAAAAAATTTGAAACTGAAAAAAATGTTTAAAAAAAACTCACTTTTTTTTGACTTTGTTCGTCAAAAAAACATGTTATAACAAATAAATATGAAAAATCCTTTCATTCATGTTGTGGAGAATTTAATTTCAAATATAAAGCAAAAAACCGCATTCGATTAAAATGAAATCTCTGACCTGTACATTGCACGGCGACTTTGAAAACACGACTTTTCAGTAGAAGCGTTTAAAGTTTACCACTCACTAAAGTTTACCACTGACACGCACTCACTAAATTGCGTATTACTTGGAAAATAAGTACCGGACGGCTTTATGCTTTTAAAGGCTTATTCCTAGACATATTTAGAGTACATTAGGACAAAAAAAAATTTTTTGAAAAAAATAAATTTTTAATTGTATTTCCCCCCTTAATAACCAACTTCTACCGAAATTCTTGGAAGCTTTGTAGTAAATCATTGTCAACTTCTTGAGAACTCATGGAGTTTCAAGAAGGAACAATCGTAAATAAACTCTTCAAGTAATCACATTTTTCATTTTTAAGTGATTCACAAATAATGTTTTGGCTTATTCGGTTTTAAATGCCGGCTAGCTAGCGTGACATAGTTAGCCAACGTTAGGGAACCAATATTAATTAATCGCCTCCCCCAATCTTAATTTCAGTAATCATTGAACACGTTGCTATGAGTATTATCCGAAATCAATTGTGGGATTCTATACAGTGATTCGTGCAACTGGTTGCCTCAATTTCTCTGCCGGCCCTAGCGACATTTTCTTGTTGTAGTACGAACATTTTAACTGCTTTTAAGTTTTTCGTAATGCCCTGGCAAAATGGTGCGACAAATTGCCTTTCAAGTGTTAATTTGTGCCACAGACACAATTACTTAATACATTTTAATTTCGTTGAGCGAGAGATGCGACAGCGATTTAGACTAAGAGTCTGCCTTGCCTGCCCGAATTGCTGCTCCGCCGTTTTAATTGCGCCACGAAAATTTTGAGCTGCCATAAGTACGTGTATCTCATAACTGAGCCCCACTGTCTCCATGTAAGTGTGTCTGAGTCTAAGTCTAAGTGGACTAGTGAGCACTCATTAAGATGCCACGGATTGCAAGTGAGACGCATTCGGCATCCCAAATTTAATCTGCCTAGAACAAATCCCTCTCGATGCAACAATTGTAAACATTATATTTAAATTGCACTAAAAAAAAATATCATTTCAGAGGCTTTTTATTAAATGATTCTATTTCAAGCACTCGTAAAATAATTAAAAGCTAATAGTATGAATTACTGACACTGGTACAGCTTTAAAGAATCTAGAAATATAAAATTTTAAATGCTACTACCATTAAAAATTCATATAAAACATTTTAACTTTTAATGTTGGCAATTTCAAGACATTTAATGATTAAATAGCCAAAATTCTTTGCATAATTACAAATTAATTGCCAAATAGTATAATCACAAGAAATAATTTCAAATATCTTAAAAGCTACATGTGTGTGTGTGGTTGTTTGGGTTGTTTATGAAACCTCATTAGATGTACAATTCAGTCATAATACAATTGTTTCTAAAGGACTCCTTTGAGAAACTCATTAATGGTTATATCTTTCAATTAGAAAAAGACCTTAATTGGCAAGCGTGGCATGCACCGAGGCAATGAATTTCCATAAACACATTACAACTTGGCTTGAACTTGGCGGGCCTAAGTGGATTTTCTGCTGCACATCGATAGATCGTGGCCAGGGCGCAGATGCCACCGCCAGAGCAGAGCCGCGTGCAACAGTTACGGCGGGAGGTCTTTTGAAATCCACTTATTGGCAGGAAGAGTGCAATTTGCCAGCAGGAAGAAGTCAGCGACAATGCAATTTGCCCAGTGCCGTGCCACTTAATTTGCTACCTTTAATGTGGCTGCGGGCAGGAAGAGAGGCTAAAGCGGGAAAAAAGGGAAAGCGGAAGCCACCGGAGGCGCCACAGCAAATGCAAACAAATCGCAGGATGCTGGCCAAGAAGGGAGGGAGATGGCCTTTGGTGGGCGGCTCAAAGGTTGGAAAAAGGTAAACCGGTGAGGCTGATTTAATTGTCATCGTGTCCACCTGGCAAGGCCGCTTAATAACCGTTATGTGGCATGGCTGCCAAGTGTCGGCCAAGGTGGCCAGATGTCGCAAAAGCTTTTACATTGCCATTGCAAATGGCGCCTTGCATGCCAAACAAAAATGGAAATTTTCAACATGCCCAGCCGAATATTGGCAACTTACCGACACATGTCGATAAATTATAGGCACCAAGTTCAATTATTTAATATGCAGCGAGCGTGGCAGCTGTGGCGAAATTTTCACCTTCCTCCGTATGACCTTTATTAATGCATTATCAATAACAACATCAAGTACGCGCTGATGGCAAATATTTGATGACAATGTAATGAAATAAAGAACAGTCCGGCGGCGGCAGACGAACCTTACTAATTGCCTTATTAAGCTGCGATCCCCACATTATTATTACAGCCTGTCTTGTGGCACGTTCCCAGGTTTCGTTAACCCCTGTATGCCAGCGAACGATTACATTGCCAATCCGCTGGAGAATTCCATAAGAGCTTTAAAGACTCAAGAACCAAAAGACGACACCATCAATCATCGCTCTGACAAACACGCAAATTATTTTAATTTTATTATGTGCCAAATGAGTAATAACAATCCGCCTGCAACAATCACAGCCCAGCGAAGAACGGGAGTGAAAGACCGGCCCATTACGTGAGCTACACGCTCCAAAATCTTGCCCAATCGCTAAGAATTACTCCCAGAATTAAATCAGCCAGTGGCTGTTGGCCTGGTTTCGAACGACTCACGTGCCCCTCATAAGGAAACGAGCCGCAGTGTTCCAGTCCAGTCGCTCCCGGTTAGGTAATAAATTAGCGATCTCAGTGATTGCCAAAAAACTGACAGCCGGAGAGATGAGTCAAAGGATTACATTCCGAAGGGCTATAAGGAAAACGTGTTGGTCAAAACGTGATGTCTCGCCATCACTCATCAGGACATGAACAGCTCAGATAATAAACAATAAATGCGTGTTTCTCCACTGAATGACAAACATAAACAGGTAGCCAAAAAAACAAAATTTCACTCCAGAGATAAGCTCTGAAAAATAGAATAATCCGCGAGATCGTTACCACTTTCTCTACGGAATTTCGATCGCAAGCCAATCAGGTATGCAGCCAAAGTGAAAGTCCCCCAACAGCCGTGATAAGAATTACCGGGAATAAAACTAGACTACCCAGTAAAAAGTGCTTTCAGGCATATTGTTTGCGTAAGAAACGATTTTTTACAATAAGACCCAAGAAGAGAGATGCAAAAGGTCAGTCAGCTAGTGGTCAGTGGATGGGGGGGTGGAGTATCTCCACAGAGCAGACCGCAGAGCTCACCTTCAGCGGTGCATGGAAAAAAGAAAACGCAGCCGCATGGCCAAGTGAACTGTGCTGACCATAATTGGAGTTGCACTAAGGTCTGCGTGCATTTAATTATGCAATTTGAGCAAATAATAGCAGAAGCACAAAAAGAGCAACAACACAATCAACTAGCCGTCGCGGTCGGTTCTTGGCTGATTTCTCGTCTTGGCCCAAATACCTTAAAAAAGGCAAAACCTTAAAAAAAAACACATTCTGTATTAGTCAAATAGTAAACCGGTAAGGCAGTGCCATCAAAGGTGCGACTTTTTTTTTGGTAAAGTGGGGGATCACAAAAGCTTTTCGTTGTTGCCTGCCCCAAAATCAAAGTCTAAAGATTTTAAAAACTTGGTTCACACACGCATGCTCGACCTTTTGTTTATGGTCAGGCCATTGAACAGCCAAATAAAGAGGCTGGCCACTACAGCTTGCGTAATAGTGACCTAGAAAGATTCGCATAAACACAATTCACGAATATTTGACTACACCTTAAAGCCGATTCGAGCAATAAAAGTGAAAGATGCACAAAGTAACATTGTTGTGTTTACATAAGGGAAAACGTGATCACCCGAAGATGTTTACAATCTGATACTCCGAAACGGCCTGTTTATGCGGATTCGATTACCACCCCGCAATGGTTCTTGGCTGCGAGCAAAAATTTTAATTAACCTGTAAACAATGGCAGCAGGAACAAGTAAACCTATAGATTTGTCTGTATTTCTTATCTCTCTAAGCGTTTTTTGTGTTTCTGTTTTTTTTTTAACATACTCTAAGTGATTCATGTGGGACTGGTACTCCCAAGAACAATGGTTTGTGGGAATTCGTAACTCGAGTTTCGTATTCGTGTATTATTTTAAATAAACTAATGATATAGGTCTGAATGGAAATAATAAAATAGGAAATATCTTTATGCTTCCTTGTTTACGACCCCCAAAGTTGTAAAGCCCTCCCAATTACCATTTAATATCTTTATTATCTAGTTGCAGTCTGAGAGATAAACACGCAACTCAACTCATTGAAAATTGTAAAATCAATGAGTACAAAAATCGTCAATTAGTATCTCTGTTCGAGCCATTTTGAAGTGGTTGACTGAACTCGGTTAACACCGATCCCCCAACTCACTCCCAGGTGAACCCGGCCCAACTGAAAACCCGTTTTCAAATTTCCATCCCAGCCACCAAAGATGACATGCAAAAGCCCAACCAAAGATTTGCCGGCAGCTTTGGGCTTAGGTTGTGACTTGGTCGGAGGCGATGGGCCCCAGCCTCGTTGATAAGCCAGGGTCCCCGTTTTGAAGCCCCTCGAAACGTGTTTTCAATAATCATGCGCAACTTTCTTTTCCAGTGCGTCCGTCCGTCCCCATAAATGCCAGAAATGTCTGCCCGAATATCGAATGGATCGGATCGGTTTGGTTTTGGTTTTGGTTCGGATAGAGAAACTGGCCAGGCTGAGCTTACCACCTGGACTTGGTGGAGGGGTTCAGGAAAAGCAGGAAAAACATATGTGCAGGGGGAGGAAAAATGCCACAAATACTCACTTGATGACTGTTTGCATGATGGCCGTTTTCGCTCTGTTTTGTGAGGGAGTAACAATACTAGTAATGGCACGGCACGGCAAGTTTGCTTAATTACGTTATCTAGTAGTTAACGAGACGCTGCTAAGCTGTTAAAAAGAATTAATTGCATTTAGTAAACACTTGAACTCAAACAGCAACAGAAACGGAAACAGAAACAGAAACACAAAGCCACAAATACAACGTTCTTCACAACAGAGCTTTGCCTTTTTCCATTCGAATTTTTAGTTTTTATTGACTTTGGTTTGTCCAACTATTTAGCAAGAAATTAATTTACACAGCGCTCCAGCTCCCGTCCACGTAATTTGAACCAAACGGTTTTCGTGGTTTCGATGCTTCTTCGTTGAGCGCGCGTTTGAAAATAACTTTGAAAAATACGATTTGCCGACTATATTTGCCAGTCGCGCGCGTTTTTTTCCGCCAGGTTCGATTCGAACCAAAAAAAAAAACGCTGTTCGATTCGAACTCTAGTGCTGGAAAATTTCAAACCGAAAAACGTGTTGGAAAGCGTCAAGAAATGGAATTTCCGCGCGAAGATGCTCAACACTGGAGCTCTCTATAAATTCCTGTTTATAAACAAAGTTTCTAAGCAATGTTTACAAAGTTGGGAAAATCAAGAAAATTCAATGATTTTGGCGCGAAGGAAAACGTCTTAAAACTTGAGTTTTGTGTTAAATTTTATCTGAAAATATAAATAAAAGTTAAGGTTATTATAGACAAAAATAACCTCTTTTTATTGTGTGTCTTTTTATTTAACTAAAAATATTTAAGAGTCATTGATATTGATATATTTATTTTTATATTTTAAAAATATTGGGAAATATTTTTAATATTTGGGAAATACTATTTTAAACCCAAAAAACCTCTATCATTTTAAGGATTATCCTTTAAGTAGGATCTTACCCTTATCCTACTTACATTTTCATTAAAACTATAATATAATCCTCCAATATTTTATTCTTATACGTTACCTGATTCGTTCCGGCTCTATATTATCAGCTAAAGTTGTCTATAAGGTATCGTCTCCTAAAAGCGTAAATAAATATACCATTACAGCAAATATTTGAAAAACGGTAAGAACTGGGATTGGGATAAACTTATTTAAGTAATATATTCGCCCATATTTTTTTATTTGGAAATTCATATTCATATTCACTAGATTACCAGAATCAGCCCAAAAGCACACTTTACTAACCTTCATAACCAACACTGCGTATGGATAATACATACTAGTGCAATATCTAAAACAATTTTTAGTTTTTACTTGCAATTACATACTTTATTTATTGAATTATGTAACTCGATCGATCACCTTTTCGTACACCACATAGCCGGCACATCGTATGTCCATATGTGCCGACATGCTATAATACTATTTATGTGTTTTTTACAGCGCATTTGATATATTATCCACTCATTCTCAAATATGAAACAACAAACTCGATGTTTTCCATTTGAAAACTTTCTTAAAAGCGCAATTCTGTGTCTGAGTGTTTTATCCGTGTTTTCTACTTTAGAAAAATATATATGTATGCCGTTATATATTATGAAGTAGCATTCAGATTACATGGACTGGGTACAAATTTGTATACAATTTTTGTATGTTGATTAACCATTCTCGTTGGCTCCCTAGGGATTTCAACAATTTCATTTTGTTCTTAGAGATAAGTAATGCCATTAATGGAAGTAAAATTCATTAAGAGTTCTCAAAGGGTTTCCATGGGTCGACTAGGGCATTTCTAAAAAGCTTGCTACAAAAAAAAAACTGCTCAAAAGTTAAAGTGCTCATTTTTAAAACTATAGATTTTACAGGATCTTAGACCATTCGTTTGGAAAAAAAAGAAAGATGAGCTTAGGATTGTAACAAATATAGTGTGTAGGAATAATTATTTAAAATTAAGTTTTCAATGGGAGCCGTCTGAGTAATGTCTGGGGTTTCAAGCGCTTTCGATTATATATCCCTATATAAGGCAACCATCTCCATTTTTGGGCAAACCAAAATTCAAGCATTGATCAAAGCAAACAAAAAGAAATATATATGATGGCTTTTTATGCATAAATAATTTGTTGCGTGTATATTTTTGAATGATTTCTCTCTTTTTACGCTTCCTTGTTTTAGTACTAGTATGTAATACAGAGTTAAGCTTAGTAGACTATTACAAGTTTTCAATTAAATTAAACTAAATTTAAACTTAGACAATTAATAAAGGTGCGCCAGAAGCGGACGCTGTTATTTTCAATTTTCATTTATTGTTGGATTTTGCTGCATTTGCACACTTTTGAATGCTTTACTAGCCATTTGCTCGGCCACAAAGGGACAAAACCATTCCCGTGCCACAGCCACAGCTCGCCGACGGGTAATATCATAGAACATAATCAGTAGCAGATTCGATACGATAGAGAATTAGTAACATATTTCGGGCACCTGACCCGTAAGGCGTGTGGGAACTCAATGGGCCTGCCCCGGAGCTATTCGCTCCGCGTGGGTGTATCTTGTGTGAGTGAGTGTTTGCGGGTAAACTAAAAATCTAGAAATAGTATAATATGTTTGTCGGTCGTTAGATGAGAGCTACCGCTTTAAATTCAAAATTAGATTTTGCGTTTGCGAAAATGGTAAAACTACGCATATGCATTTTCATAATCAATTACGAGCACACAAAAGAGCAGTTATTACAGTATGGATTTGATGAAATGACGATATAAACGCGAGTTACAGATCTACGACATGCTGCAATATGCTTTCCACATGCCGGATGAGAGGGTGTGGAGATGAGTGTGTATGTGCGCGTTACAGCAACATATAAAATACATTCCGGGCGATCCTCCGGGCGAAAAAGTTTAACTACTACCACCTTGTCCCTTGCCATAGATGAGCTCCTCGCAGATCTTCAGAAGGTCGGCATTCTCGCGCGACTTCTGCTGCAGCTGCTCCGTCATAGAGACCCGCGACACCTCCTCCTTCTTGAGTAAAGCTTTCAGTTTCTTCACCTCGTCAGCATGTTCTCTTGAATATGTGTCCAGCTTTTTGTTGGCACTAAAAAAGATTGAATCTGTGAGTTTGTGTGCCGAGTTCATAATAGAATACCCACATTTCTAGCTGCTGCATGGCGTGGCTTTTCATCTTGTCGTATCGCTGCTCCTGCAACCGCAGATTGTCCATCAGCTGCTTTCTCTCACCCATCAGAGCCTCCTCGTTGGTTTTCAGCTGCGAGGTCATCTGTTTGCTCTTCTCGTATTTCCTGCAAAACACAATGTTGGCGTGGTCAGCAAGGTGGGCAAAAAACAAGTTATACTGGCTCCGTGGAGCGAGGCTTACACATGCAGATCTGAGAACGTCGATTCCAGCGACGTTAAATGATGGTAGTTGGCGTCCCGATCTGTCTGTACCTCCTGCAGCTGACGTTCGTAGCCCTGTGCCAACTGTTCCTTCTCGCTGATTAATTCCGCAATGGCCTTCTCATAGGCTTCGATGACGCCGCTAAGGAAAGCAATGATCAGTGAGATTAGTAATTTATGGATTAGTTATTTCTCTCAGGAAGCTTACTTAAGTTTAGCATTTGTTTTGTCTTTTTCCGTGATACGTTTGATGAGTGCCTCCTCTCGCTGCTCGGCCTCCTTAAGCTTCTTCTCAATATCCTCTGATCGGGTACTGGAATTTCAGAAAATATTAAACTTGATTTCTAAATCATCACAGATATACTTACACTTCATTTTTAATTTTCTTCTCCAGCTCATCCATGTTGTTGTAGGTGTGGGACTTGTCCTCCGAATTAAGGCTGTGGATTACAAATCAAACGAAATTATTGTCTGAAAAGTGACTTGGACACCTGTTACTCACTTGGAATTATCGAAGGTTTTGTTGCAGTCGTTGTCAATGACGTCCACACTCATTTTAGCATGCTTCTGTATATTTGAAATAAAATAAATTACTGCTAATAAATTAAATAGGCTACAACTTACTTTTGTTCTATCCACTGGGGGCTTAAACTCCAATTTCTTGGCTGTATCTTTGGCACTGGCTACAACTCCGAACGATTGATTTCCGCCACTGGTTTCGTGCTCCTCTAGTGTGGGACTGAGTGCTCTGTTTTGGGCCTGGTTGGGATTAGATCCCAGTATATTCAGCAGCGCCTGCTCCTGCTGCTGCGGATGATTTACTGGCACGGGGGCTCCAAGGAGCGGATCAAACTTTAAAAGCAAGGAGCTGCGATCGATGGGCGCATTATTGCTGCCTTTGGTGTACAAATAATCAAAATCTGATGAGTTCAGTATTACTGTGTATGGATGGCGTTTGTGTTTTGCGATTTTGTAAGGATGTGTGTATGGATGAGTTCATGCGCGTGCATTTTGTGTTGTTGTATTGGAAAAAAGAGAAAAACAAAAACAATAGTTAGTCACTGGTTTTAGCAGGTCCTCTTCATCGATTTCGAATCAATGTCAACGTCAAGGTGGTTCCCTACAAACATCATCCTTTTTCTATAGAGATTCATCAAAAGATTCAATACAAAAGGAAAATAAATGGACGGGTTTGGATAGTAGAACGCCCCTTAAAAGCAAAGCTAGTGGAATTAGCATAGATACTATAACAATAATAATTACTATACATTTTTAAAAGTACGGGTTTTGTGACATTTTGAAAAAATAAACAAAAGGCGGAAGGAAGAACAATGACAAACACAAAATATAAGATATAGCATGACTCAAAACGGGGCCCCCAGTTCCACTTTCAACCCTCCAAAACCCAAACCAAGATCCCGAGGGCAAGGAAAATGAGGTGTGCCTGTTCTGCGAGAAGCCGCATTATTTTTCATATGCACGGAAAATAACAAATAAAATCCCTATAATACATAAAATTTGATTTTTGAAGGCGCATTAAAATAGAAAATAAAATTTAAAATATAGCTAATGTTATATTAATTGGATTTTTACTCCAAATCAAGCACAATTTCTCGTAGTGCACTTATGTGAATGGGAGAATACATAAACAAATGTCAGACCAGCGTTGGGCGGCTTTAAAAATAGTAAGACGAGGAGCCCGGGCAGGCCGATATTTGCAGACGACAAAATGCAGGTCATAAGGCAAGGGAGGCGCCCTGCTCTGGGTCTTGTATTTAATTTTGGTTATTTAAAACAGACCGGAGGAAACCAAACAAAACAAAAGGAAACGGTGGCTTGTGAGTCATTTTATGCAATCGACGGAAGGTTTCCAATTGGGTTGAATGACGGGCCCCAGAGTGATGGAGAAAATGAGGGAGAGAGACAGAGAGAGGTGGAAAAAGAGAGCACAAGAAAGAGGAAGCTAGTTTTTACACGGCACTGCATTTTAATTGCGTTTCTTTGACAAGTTTTGCATTTTCAAGATTTTCCACAGTTATTAACACAATAATGTTAACCGTGACCACGCATCGCCCACTCGCACACAAACGCACAGTGGAGCGAATCCCACAATGAAGTTTCACGCTCTCACTCTCGCGTATAATTTTTTTCCCCCCGAGACATTGGAGTCTTGTCTTGGGGCTTTATTTATGCTTATTTGTTGTTTTTCTTTTCGGCCACAGCTGCTTGTTACTATTCTAATTTTAAACACTTGCTATCACTAAATTGCTTGTTGGAAACTTTGTTGGCTTAGTGGGTAAACAAAATAATCCATTTCTAATTGGTTTTCTGAATTTACATTCGCTGATCCAGCAGATTGGCTATCCAAATCCAATGGGGAAACAACAACAACCGCGAGTAGAGCGACGACGTCCAATGTTGAAAACTAACTGAATTGGAATTTCTTATTGCTTACATTTCTCTCAGCGATTCCAATAAGAAAACCAGCGCACGCACGCGAGCGAGTGGGAAAGAGAGAAAGCTGGTGGGGGAAGGTGAGCCTGAATTCTGACTGGAGTGTGTGACAGTGACGCGTATGCAGCAATGAGCAAGTGCGCAGAGAGAGCATGAGAGCGCTGTGTACACGTTGTCTGTTTGGAACTAAACTACAGTGAAGCTTGAAATAGAAGGCAATTTAGAAAACTATTTATGATATACAAGTTATCAATATAGTTATTTAAATAAAATTTAGACAGCATTACAATTTTTAAACTGTTATTTTCTACTTTTTTGTATTCCAAATTCGAACACATTTATAATACTACTAATTACTACTAAACTAATCCATTTAAATTTAATCTTTGTAGTGAAAATATTTTTTCATTGATATAACATTTAGTTTAAGTTCACTGTAAGCTGATCTATTATCTATGAATGAGAGAGTGGAAAATATTTGCTTGGGTATCGGATAGTTCAGAGTTGCATCTTTTTAGTCAGCGATAACGATAAATTAAGCGCCAATATTAAAAATATTTAAATGCATATATAAATTTCTTAAAAGTATACGACGAATTAAAAGAAAAAAAGCCTCAAAAGTAGAATTATTTCTGTTGCACACATTAGCAATTATATAATTGAACGATGAGTTTTGTTAATTATCCGAAAATATGAATGCTATCATCACAGGCACCAATACACTTTTAGAACCTTTGCGCAACCAAAGCAAAAAAATGAATATGACAGCAGTTCCTCAATTGACAGTGACGTCACAGCGATGAGTACTGCGTACCGTATTTGCTGATAAGGGCTCCAATTAGAGAGCAGAGAGAGAGTTTAAAAAAGAGGAAGTGCCCCGCAAAAAGAGAAAGAATTGTAAGCGGCTTTCTCTCTCGGCAGAGCGGCAGCGGAGAAAGGGGGCATTGCGGCATTTTCCGGCAGAGACCCGAGCAGCATAAAAATGCAGTCGAAAAAAAAAACAAAAACAGGAACGGGAACAGAACGTGCATCCCAATATAAACAAAACCCGTAGTTGGGTGCCATTCAAAAATTATGCGCTTAATTGACATTGTGGCGCAGCAATGCAATAGTTCATTGCTCTCGTTGTTTTAAGCATGTTTCCCCGAGTTTCCCCCCAAAGTATCCATCCACACGGCGATTTGAAGTTCACGTTCATTGGCTTGCATGTGTGCATGTGGGTTTATTTTTACAGTTATATCGCTACGATAGTCCATGCAAATGAAGGAGCAACTTGAGGGAAGAACTCGAGTTCATGGCGTCCATAATATTTCAAGTTCAAAAGTTATAGTGCTGGGGCGGCAGGGTGGGTGCTTATTTATGGCTGATGAGCTAAGGTCACGAACATGCGAATGAATCGGGAGCTCTACTGGCCACAGTGGAGCTCCGATTGCGAGGGATGGCAGTCAAAGTTCCATAACATGAAATTCTTTATGAAATTTTATGAATTATTTTTATAATTATATACCCTTGTTATGGAATTTTGACTGCACTGGCTTGGAAACCATCCCCGACATATAAAAGGGGAAAAAATCAACTTACAGTTTTGGTTGGCGACGCTGTCCTGGAATTCCGCATCGTAGAACTGTTCTTCGTCACAAACAATGACATCCCTGTTCCGGCTCGTCGGCTCATTCAGTGCTGCTGAGGGCCCTGCGGCATTGGCCTTCATTTTGGCTTGGTTCTGGAATCCACTGCTGGTGAACTGAGGCGTCTTGAACATGTCGTCCGAGACGGGAGACATGGCGCCAAAGTGCTCCACAAAAACATCGTCCTTCTCGTCACTGGCACTGAGGGTGGCCTGCTCCTTAGCGGACAAGGCCTGCTCCTCCAGGACAACTGTAGCATTGCCTCGCGGCGAGGACGGAGAATGAAATTCCGTATGAATGGGGGCTCGTCTCAGGTTTTGATGTGTGGGAATCGGTGGTGATGTTGAAACAGGAGGCCTGTCCACCGTTGTTTCCTCCACGCGCATGGATGAATCCACATCCATTGGCTCAAGTTCATCCCCAACGATGTTTTCCTCAGTCGCCTCCAGCGCAGGAGATGCATGTTGCTCCACGGAAAAAGTGCGTCGCGGCACGTCGGGATTCGGATCCAAGCAAAAGGTCCTTCGCGATTTGGTCTCCTCTGGCTCATCGGTGGACTGGATGACAGAAAACGTTCGGCGTTGTTGTTCATCGGCAGACCCCAGAGACACGGCAAATGTGGTCGAAGCTTGCAGTGGAGCAGCCTCGAAGGTTCCGTTCAGTGGAGTTGGGGACACCACCTCACTTATAGGCAGGGTCTCGTTGAGGTGTTCCTGCATCTCGGGGCTGGCTTGAGTCACTTTAATGGAAACTGGTGACCTGGCAATCACTCCAGCTTCGCAAACGCTTTGCTTCCGATCCGCCGATGGTTCTACAACGGCTTCCTCCAGGTACGGCATTTCTTCACTTTCTGGAGGAGCATGCGGAGAATGAGGAAAGTGGGCCGGTAGCTCCGAGGGCCCTTTGATGGGAAAGGTTGGAGAGTGTGGTCCAGAGCTACGACAACGGAAAGCAGACATATCACTACCCGATTCTTGTTCAGTGGGTGTTGTGGATTTTGGCGGAGTAGTTGTAACCTGCACTACCGGTACAGAATAGGATGGCTCCATATTTTTAATTTCTTCCTTCTCCTTGGGTGATTCGATCTTGTGTGTTTCGTCGAAAGCTTCCTCGTCAGGCAGGGGCAGTGCTTGGAGGGCTAAGTACTCTAATTCTTCTGCTGTCTTTGGACGATGAGTGGGTATAGGCGGTGATGAAGGCATAGGGGCCACTGGGTTCTCTTGGGGCTCAGAGGATTCAGGTTCATTGTGAAGAGATGATCCTAGATCATTGGGAATTTCTATCTGAAGCTCAAGAGGCTCAGGCTGTTCATGAACAGATGCTTGTTCCTTTTGGATTTCTTGTTCAAGCTCCGTATTTTCTTCAAGATGCTCCTGAATGTTCTGTATTTGCAAGGGCTGCGACTCCAGGATCTCTTCATTCAACTCCTTTGGTTCCGGTTGTTCCGGTAGTTGTACCGACTGTTGATCCTCCTTCAGAGTGTTAGTCCCAACTATCGGTAACTTCTCGTTCAATAAGTCCTCCTTAGTCTCTGTTTCTTGAGGAGTTATTGGCGGGTCCTCCAAGCCTGGTTCTTCCTTTACCATTTCTGTTACATCCTTTGCCGACTGAGCCTCAAGAAGTGGCACAGTTTCTTGCACTGGTTCAGGCGACTCAGGCAATGTCAAAGTTTCCTGCACTGGTTCGATCTGTACTGGATTAACTTCTTGGTTAGGAAGATCAACAAGGAACTGCTGCTGCAAGAGTTGATGATCCTCTGGGTCCAGGACATTCTTAAGCATTTCCATAGTTTCGTTAACCTCATCCACATCCATGGGCTCATAGCTAACGTCGTTCTGACTAACTGCTAGGGGATCGTCAAAGGTATTCTCTAAAGTGGCCGCAGAGGCTGAAGACATCTGATGCTCTAGCACATCGTTAAGAGCACTGGAATAGGCCTCCAGGTCCGACCGATCTCCGGAATATCTTTCGGCGTGCAATGAGAGGCACTCCACAAAGACATCAGAGCTCGAGTGGTCAGATTTAAGATGAGCTAAAAAATTATACTTATTAACAAAGAGATCTGTACCTTTATTTTGAATTACTCACCATCCACATCTGGGATTTGCGTCTCGTCATACTCTGGAAGACCGCCGAACTTCGGAGTAGCATCTACGTCCAGCTTGATACCACCTGTTGCTGCTGCCAGAGCTTTCTGTTGATCTGTGCTCACTGGTTTGGGGCTGGCCTTCACCGCCAGTGGATTCAACTGAAAAATGGAAGCCGCAATTAGATGCAGAAAATCAAAGAAAATTAATTACAAATTGTGCATCGCGTGCCTCATGATTCGTATGAAGAGTTATGAGGCAGGGCAGACCTGAAAAACAATCAACATAATCCAAACAATTGGCAGACGAAAAATGTAAACAACTCGGGATAATGAATATGTGAATGGGATGAGGTTGATGGTGGAGATGATCACGGGCAGCAACAGCTGCTGGGGCATTTAATTACAAATTGTTGAAACAATACGTTGCCCCGAAAAGATTTGAGAAGAGCTGGTGACAGAAATAGGTCGCATCTGGGCTTCAGGTGAACTTATTATGAATGCCCTTCAATGTAAGAATGAGTTTGTGTGACTTCCATTAGTAGATCATCTCATATAAAGTCTTATTATAGTTAAAATTTATACAACATATGCTTCTGTTTATCTTTGGATCTATTCCCGCAATAAACAATCTATTAAATTCTACCCACTATTGAATTCCACTGTAGCCAAGTGAGAACAAGCTCAAATTTTGTGTAGTATATGGGCCCATCCCCATCGAAATTACCGTCGCAGTCGGTCAGTCGACAAGCAAATGTCATTAATTTAAAAGCGAGCCAAGACGCGAAAACCCGGGAAAACGGCGGCAAATCGACGGGTGTCAGGTGGAGGGGCGTGCAAGTGGGTCGGCATCGGCTTTTGTGCAGTGCGAAGTGAAAATCTGAACATGCCGGGGATTGGATGCGGCCGGACTGAGTCCGTCGCTAGCCGTCTATTCAGGGCCTTGATGCAATGTTCTACGTGGGGAATTTAATTAGAGCGCAATATAGTATGGCGATATGTTAGCAAGGTTAAAGTCAGGCGCTAGAGAAGGAGCATGTTGGGGGAAACGATGGGTAAGAAAAAGGGGTGCGCCCATGACCAAATGGCGCAGAAGCACAGGATAATTAGCCAGCGGAAACTGCCAATCTCTAAAGTAATAAAAAATCATTTCCCCAAGAGGAAATTATAATTACATTGAAACTTTAAATAAAGTTTGAAGTAAGGAAATTGAGAAATAATTAATTATTCAAGATATGGAGAACCAATATTCATAATACACTACATTGTATGAAACATAAACCTCAAAAAACATTTTTAAAAAACGCAATAGTCGAACAAAAGAATGACAAATATATAGGATTATATATGTATACTCGGAGGGTGTGGAAGAAATAAGATGAAACAAACCATCCAATGTAATTTGAAAATAAAATAAAATAAAAGACACGGAAATAAAAAAAGATAAAAAAAACTGACATTCCCACACACAACACCCTCAACGCAGGGATCTTCTTTCGTTTTTTTGGGGGACATACCTCGCCACTCATAGCCTGCAAGTGCTCCATTTCGTTGGCACTGACTTGGTTAAGGTTCACGTTAATCTCACTTAGTAGTTTCTGGATGCTATCCCTGCTGCTGGTGGGTGGTGTAACGGGGCTGGCGATTGGTAGGGGTATGGGTTCCAGCAGCATCTTGCTGTGCTGCTCCTCCAGGAACATCAGATCTTCTGATGCCGAGTCGAGTAACGAACCCAAATCAGTGGATACCAGCGGTGCTCCTTCTTTTGGGGTGGCATCAGTGGGGGCCTGTGCCGCTTCCATGGTCGTAGCATGGGAACCACTTCTGGCCACGCTCAAGGGGCGTTTTATGATGTTTGCGAAGAAGTCCATGAAGATATTGGAAAAGGGATCGTCGCTCCACGGACGATTAACCTCCAGACGCTTTACGGTTCACTCGATTCCAAAAACCAACGATCGACGATGAGGCTACTGGGTGCCTTAAGTGTTTTTTCCTTTTTTCAGATTTTCCGTTTTCCGTTCTGGCAACGATTTTCGGCTCGCCTACTCTGAATATTGTCGACTGCGATTTTCCGCCTCCCGCTCTCTCATTATATTGGGCAATAATAATAATCCCCGAGATTCTCGCGACCCGGCGCCGTGTGCGTTCTACGCTGGCTCCCGATCTTGTCTGTCTTTGAAATCAATTTAAAAATATTTTCGTTTTCAATTTGCTTTGCTTTCCGCTCACCGCCGTCGTCACACAAACTAGCACATGCCCGAACGAATTTCCGTGAGTCGGGCCGGGCTGGCTGTGTGGGGGAGAGTGAGATAAGTTTGAACAACATCCACAGAAACTATCCGGCTGTGGATCGGCTAGCCCTCATGCCAGTTCTCCCTTTATCAGTAAGACTCTGAGTACTTTTTTAAATAGCTATCATATTAATGGGAGATATAATGGGATAATACTTCAAATGGTAGACTCGATATTACATCAACACTTATCGAAGCAATCGCCGATCGATTACAACGCGCGTAGGCCCTCAGATGCAATTTAATTTATATAAGACACTTAATTAATCCCGTAAATTAGAACAATGCCAAGTGTGCGGCCTCCCAGATGACAACCTTCTGGGGTGAGCTGCGGTGGCGAACTGAACCTCTAGACAGGCCCCAGACTTGAGTCGAACTCAAGCAAAAGTGCCAAATGCAACACACCGCAAATAAGCCAAAGCCGAACCGTTCATAGGGAAAGAAAATAGGACAACCTACCGGGGGGCTAATGAATGAAAGTCTTGGCCCAGCAGTCCGACATCGAATGTGGACGCCAAGTGACATGCAATCCCACTGCCATTGTTGCGCATCACGGAGCACTTGAAGAAGCCAGTCGAGGAAGTGCACCAGATTGCTACACTTGCATATTGCGGCTGACTTTGCATATTTTGCGAGAAAAGTCTCGCAGTGAAACGGAATCTCACACGATGGGCCATGACGGTGTGGCAGTGTTAGATGTTGGAGGCAGCGTTAGTCAACCAATGCGTGACAGGTGACAAGATACGCGTGACAACTAGCTCGGTTGCATCTGAACCCGGTGTCTGTGGGTTCAGTGAGAGTCGGCACACAATGGATCGACTAAAAATAAGAGCTATAAATTATCCGTTTTTGGGTTTAACAGAAATTCGAATGCTTTGCAGCCTCCAAAGGGTCATGAAGTATTAGCTTCAGGAAGAACAAAAACAAATTAAAACTCTGGATATGCCGCACATGGTGGTCCTACGATTTTCTTGAAAAGTTTGGCTGGGTCTTCGGATGATACCCAGTGTAACACATGGGAGAAATTAAAGAAAACATACAGAAGGCGAAACTATAAAATAAACTATAAATAGGTGAAAAACAAAGCTAGACAACTAGGGAGAAAATAGGGGAAGTTTGCATCCGCAGATCCTCCATAGAAAGTCGAGAAAATGGGGAGAGGGAGTTTGTCAACAACTGCTTGGTTAATTACTTGCTACAGAGATGGGGTGAGAGTCCCGCAGCCTCCAGCCAGCAGAACAAATGGTCCTTATTAGCTACATGGTGGCAAAAACACAAAAGGGCGCATCAGTCTTGAAAAACTAAGCAATTTGGTAATAAGATGAAAGTTCCAGTACTATACCTATTGATCCCAGCAGTCTGTTTTATTTGGGCTTAAAATAAGCAAATAATTGGCACGCCCGATCAACATCTGGACAGTGGGAAATGTCAAGAGGCCGTCGAGGCTGGCCGGGATCGATGATATAGACTGGGCATTTTATGCATTTTCATTTTTCATACCAGATTCGCAGCGCTGTGGTCCAACTGGATGCCTATTCTACCGGCCGTGCCCCTTCGTTTCTTTGTCTTGACTGTTGTATTGCCCATTGTGGAGAAAGTGGCGTCTGTTCTTGCGTGGAGCTCGGATCTAAACCTACTGAACACTAGATGTAGCCCCTGTTCCTGAACACACTGATCGACTGGAGAAGCTAAACGAAATCTGGAGTGACAGCTGCCATAAAGTTAATAAAAACAGCACGGCAGATTATGTATACAATGTATGGATGTGGAGAAACAGTCGGTGAATCAAAATATTCCAGCGAAGGAGCAAGCCGAGGATGGAGGGGGTAGATGGAGGTGGCCGTATACCATTACCCGCAGCAGATGGCGAAAAGTGAATGTTTTGGTCAAATCGCACATGGGCGAAGACCACGCCCCCAAGCTAATTGATCCGCTTACCGTGGCGCCGCCATCGTTTTTGTTGATCTCCCGTAAAACGCCGCGACTCCCGACTCCCAGGCCGTTGTGCGCCGCATCAAATTCCATTGTATACGTAGTAGGTGTTCTCACGGTGAAGGTACCAATAGCTTGTGTAATGTTGTTTAATTCTTGGGTGACACTGTGTATATGGCCAGTCTTATTTGGCGGAATAGTGTTTTGACAGACGCGACTCTGTTCGGTTGCTGTTTTTTTTTGGTAAAAAGCCGCTACAATTTGAAGATTAGTGTGGTCAGTGTCGATTCAACTTTTAGGCGTCCAGTTAGGGCTGCCAGATTGCAGTTCGTTGTAGTCTGGCAGCTCTAAGATTTAACATTCTGTTAAGTTTGAAACTGTTAATATTTTCTTTTAATTTTAAATTTAACGGAAAGGAGAGCTAACTTTAGAAAAGATTTTTGATATATATTTTGTGTCCATTTTTCGTGATATATACGGTCCACAGCGATGGCTATATCTTCCCCAATTCTCAAGCGGAGTACCTTAAACGTCCATCATTCTGCATCAAAATCCTGAGTCGAAATATTTTTAAGATTTTCTGTCCATTTTTCGAGATGGGATCCCTTGAAAATAAGGTTTTCCCCTATATGGCCCACAGCGATGGCTATATCTTCCCCAATTCTCATCTGATTCTCAAGCGGAGTACCTTAAACGATTTGTGGATTGATTCTCCATCATTCTGCATCAAAATCCTGAGTCGAAATATTTTTGAAGATTTTTTGTCCATTTTTCGAGATGGGATCCCTTGAAAATAAGGTTTTCCCCTATATGGCCCACAGCGATGGCTATATCTTTCCCAATTCTCATCCGATTCTCAAGCGGAGTACCTTAAACGATTTGTGGATCGATTCTCCACCATTCTGCATCAAAATCCTGAGACAAAATATTTTTTAGATTTTTTGTCCATTTTTCGTGATGGGATCCCTTGAAAATGGGGTTTTCCCCTATATGGCCCACAGCGGTGGCTATATCTTTCCCAATTCTCATCCGATTCTCAAGCGGAGTACCTTAAACGATTTGTGGGTCGATTCTCCACCATTCTGCATCAAAATCCTGAAACAACATATTTTTTAGATTTTTTGTATATTTTTCGTGGATTGCACTTGAGAATCGATATTCAAATCGTAAGTGGAATTTTCGAAGGATTTTCAAATGAATTCTCCTTCTTCTAAAGGCAATAAATCCAGTCCAAAGAGTTAATTTAGGTGCCAAAATGAAATATTCTAGTGAAATTGAAACGCAATACAATTCTCAACATAAAAATAATCTTTGAAGAGGCTTTATTAGAAAAATATTGCTCTTTTGCCATGCATAACATTTCCTTTCATATAGTAACCATTATCTTGTAACATTCAACGAGATGCTAAGCGCTTTCACTAGAGTAAAACTATGATTTAAACTTTGAAAGTATGGGTTATATGGAGCTTTAAGTAGGTAATTCTAAACACACTACTAATTGATTTATTTTAAACTAGGTTTGTAATAGATAATTCATAATACATAATGGTAATAATGTAATTAATGTGTACGCTAAAATTATTATTTTTTCTACATTTTATATAATTAATTAATAGCTCGAGAAAGACAATTAAAACTTCCCATACTATGTATTAATAGTGTAACTACTTTTATACATATGTCTTTTCATACATTTCTCTCCAGGTGTTTACAACACAATCACTTAAATGTGGAACCCCAGGCCTTTAAAAGGATCATCTCTTGTTTCCCTATCAAATGGGTTCTACGTGAGGTTCAATTCGGCTTTGATTCATTTGTGCCTAAGTAATACTGGGCTTATCTCGAGACGTGCTCCAAATTTGAATTACTATCTTACTAGACTACTTTTTATGGCTGCACAGAATCTAACCCCAGTATCGGGTGCTTTATGGCCTTCTATCCTGGTCTTTTACATAAACTCTTTCCTAAACTTAGACTTAATGAAAATATATTTTTTTTTTCGTTATTTTTATGGTGATTTCTTTTAAAATCTTTTTTAGGTTGTTTCTTTGCGAGTGTCTTTTCCGGTTTAATTGAATTTGGTAAGGGATTCTGTTTCAGATCTTTAGGCTAAGAAGTTTGTCTACTTATAGTATATTAAAAGTTTGTTATTTTTTGGTTTTAGTCATTTGAGCATTCCCATATTGGGTATGACGTATAGAGTGTTGAAAGTGCAAGGACTTGTAAAGACTTTCAGCATCCAAAAGTTTGCTAGTGTGCGTTACAAAAGGAGATGCTCCTAAAGTAGTTAAAAGGCTATAAGTATACTGTATATCAAAGTTGTAGACTGTAGTTCACGAGTCACAGCGCCACCAAACTGAACAAAACCAATGCTTATGATCTGCTCTGAAAAGCCTTCATTTTAAACAGCTGCTTTTGTACACTAGCCTACCATTTTATACATTTCAAGACATTTTCGAAGATCTAAGAAATCCTACAAATCTTATAGGATAAAAAAAATGGCCCTTTAAGAACCAAATCCAAAAACTGCATCTACAAGGCATCCCGTATAGGATATCATTCAAAAAAGCCTCCTTTTCAAAGTTCCTTACATAGCAGCTGTTCGTATTGCCTAACCCTAACCTGGAGCAGATCACATTGGTGGGCCGTCCTCGTCGATCTTGGTCGTCCAAATGCCGGGCATCAATTGAGGAGGTAGATTCGATTGCGGCGTGGTCAGCTTCCGTATGGGGTTGTTCGCGTAGATCGGCTTGGAGCTGGGCGTATAGCCCTTGTTGTCCATGCCGTCGATGATGGTGAACTGCGATGCCATGTTCTGAGTGCCCTGGGCGACCGGTGAAGCGGGTCTAGAGATGGGGTGAGTCCGAGGGCTGCTGATCAGGACGGTGCAGAAGCCACCCCAGATGGCCAAAGACGCGAAGGCCGTCTGGGGAATGAGCTGGCCGAAGATTACCGTGGAGCCAATGAAGGGAGCTCCCAGGAGCCAGAATCGAGCCCAGCATATTGTGGAGAACGAGGTTATTTTCTTCTTGTCATCTGATACTAGTTCCACAGTGCAGGTTGTCAGTATACTGAGTGTCGTGGAAATAGCCATCTTTGAAACCATGGCAGAGCACATAAGCAGGGCCACCCGAGCATCAATGGGAATGACTCCGGCCTTCGGTACCAGCCATCCGCAGTAGGCGATGCATCCGGCCATAATGTTGAAGAGTCCCGTCCACAGCCACTTTCTGGTCGTTTTCAGGATCAGAAACAGGCCGAAGAAGGTGCCCATCATTTCGCTGAAACCGGCAACGAAGGTGTTGATGTACAGGTGCTCCCGGCTGAAGGCCCGGATGTTGAGCAGCATTCCGTAGTAGACGACGATATAGAGAGACCAGGCCAGGTGCACACAGATTATATGCCGCACAGCCCGTTCTCCTTTCCACATCGACCACCAGCCGCTGGGCGGAGGGGCGTCCATGGCGGTCTGGGCCTGGAGTTCCAGTTGCTGGTCGATGTCAGTCGGCAGATTGTGTCGCGTGCCGTTCATTTCGGCACACTGCAGGAGGATTTTCTTGGCATCTTGGACGCGTCCTCGTGCTATGAGCCAGCGGGGAGAATCGGGAATCCACCTGGAAAATAATATTCATAAATAAACTTTTCTCTCCATGTTTTATTTGGAATATCCATTCTACTCACTGCCACAGATAGATAAGTATCACAGTTGGCCAGGAGATGGCCATGTAGAGGTGGGACCAGCTGGAAAAGAAGCTAGCCAGTCCGGGAAGCATCATTACGCCAATGGACCAGAACTGCTCGAACAGCGTGGACACGCAAGTACGATACTTTCCTCCGGTTATGTCTGCCACTGAAGTTTTGTCGGTTACTAAAGATATCCTTTTTGAAGGACTCTATTAATACTTACTAATTTGACCCCCGGCGGTGTACATCTGGGCGCAGCAAACGGCGGAAAGACAACGGAAGAATACGTGCAGTTCATAGGATGCCACATGACCAGTAAGATTTCCGCAGAATATCTGAGTTATCATTCCAAAAAGCATAACGTTTTTGGGACTGAAACTAAATAGAGAATATTTTAATCAAAGAAAAGTCCTTTAAAACTTAAAGGAATAACTTACTATTTAAGCAAGTGATTAGCCAGGATTCCCCCAGTGAGGACACCAAACAGATGGAAGAACTGCGTCACCGAGACAAGAATATCGCGCGAGCACACGAGGTCGTACTGGGTGACCACGGAGTGGAAGTCGGCTTGGTGCTGGAACTCCGTGCAAGGGATCAGATTAGAGCTGCGGTTAAACGGCTTCTCCCACACCCTTGGCTCTTGCTCGCTATTGGCGTAGTTGTAGTAGTGATGGGCGTGCTCCTGTGCATCCTGATACACATTGCAGAAGTCGATGGAGAACTCCTGATCTTCGGTTTCCTCCTTCTGAGGATGCGACACCTTGATCCACGCGGATTGGTTTTGGGCGCCCACCGTGTTCGGGGGCTTGCAAAAGAACTCTCCATGGCGCGGAGCTGGGGCCGTGAAAATAATGCAGGCCATGAACCAAGACGAGGGGATCTTGCAGAGGAAGATTAGGAGCACAGTTCGCAGCTGCCACTTGCCCCACGGGCCAGTGATGCGGCCCACTGCATCCACCTTGGTCTGCATCTTGTTGTTTGGCTTCGGGGCTTTACCCTCTAATCGGGTGAAGGTGTCGTTGGGATATAGCTGGTATTCCTGCGGGTGGGGCTTGTCGTGGTGCGGTGTGGTGCCGTTGGCCAAGTGCGAATAGAAATCCCCCTCGTTGTTGTTTGTCTCTAATGGAGGAGGCTCACTGTTCTCGGGCAAGGAAGTTGGACAATTGCTGAGGGAGCTACGCCTACGACAATTGTTGGGCGTGGAAGTGGGTTCCGTGGGGAGGTGCGTGGGTGATGCGTCTGGGCCACCTGCGAGGGAGGTGTATTGAGCAGGTTGGGGTAACCGATTGGTGGCTGATATGTGCGAGGAGCTAAGCACTCGAGGAGGCGGTGACTCGTTGTCCTTCAGGGGTAACAAAGGAGATTCCGCCTGTAAGGATGACAAAATAATAGTTTATTAATATTTAACGTTTTTTTAAAATATCCTTAAATAATTTTAAAAATAATTCTTACATCTTAGCTATAGTATTATCTGAGCGATACATGGCTTACAGTTCCACTTGGCTGGAATAGGCTACAAATCCACTTGGCTGGAATCGATTCTCAGACAAGAGGCAATAATTCAGTCGCATTCCTCTGATTATCCCGAGTGGCCTTGAGGCACTTGAGTGCAGCATTGCTGAGACTGCAGCGTCTGGGTCTCGATGGAATCACCCACTCACAAGGCGCTCCCGATCCTATCCATTTCACTCCCCCGTCGGCAGCTGGGCGTATAATGAACACAACATAAATTGCAGTGCCAAGTGGCTTGGCAACACTTTGCCATCCTCCTCCAGTAATTTGAAATCCCAAGAATCCGACGGCAGTAATTGAACATTCTATATACAATTTAGCTTACAGATACAGTAAATCAGCTTTGGCAAATATTTTCAATGTGTTTTTTTTTTTATTTGGAGAAGCTGCCGTGGGCGAATTGACATTTGCACCGATGGGCCTATTGCTATTGCCTAGTTATTTGTAAATAATATGTAAATTTTAGTTCACATTTGCATAAGCGCAAATGTCACCCATATGACCACAAACAGTAATTGGCTTTAACCACGAACTTCGCTTAGGGAATTTGATGCCTATTTTTGGCTTTAAAATTCCAAAAGCTTCAAAGCACCCGCAGAATTCAAATTATAATAATAATAATTATTATTTATAATTACCCATGTAATAACAATTCTCATATATCAGGCAAGAAAAATATTACCCAGCAAAATAAAAGGCGGAAAATTAAAACAAAACTGGCTAAACAAAACAGTTTACGAGCTCTCATTTGGTTCAAAATTTTCTGGGTTCTGGGTTGACAAATGTCCCTGAAGCCACGAAAAACAACAGAGACAGCCCCCCAACTAATTCCAAATTCCACCCAAAATACCCCCAAAGCCCGAAAAACTGGGTTTGTTATTCAGATGTTTTTACTCAACAATTGCGAACAATTGTTGTACTTGTACTGTCACCGCCTCTTTTTTACTGTCGCATTTGTTGTCATTAAAGTTTTGTTTTTCGTGTGCTGTCGTGTTTAATAGGAGCTTATATGCCTGTTATGTGGAAAGGGAAAAATTATAAAGGTGGAAGGATATCCTCTTCTCTGTGAAACTGCGAATATTGTTGCCCAGAGCAGCCGTTAAGGATTTTTACGGGGGATTATGCATAATGCATTAACCCACGGATTTCGCAAGCCGATTGCTGACATTGCATAAATTTTCCTCAAGAAAACGAAAAAATTTGCAAGGCAAACGCAACATTGGAGATGGGAAAACAAAAGAAAAGCTGGAATGGAAAAAATAACTTGAATTTGAAGGCCGAAGGTCGCCGGGTTGTTGTGAAAGGACCAGCAGAGCAGTCCAAGGATCCGGCAAAGACGACGCCGGCAAGTATGCAATCATTTTATTAGTTCGATATAGTCAGCGCCGAAGTTTCTTTTTTTTTTGGGCATTCAGACAGCAGTTGTCTAGTTTTATGCGTCAATTAAATGAATTCGTTTTGCGTATCTTCATTTTTTTGCTGTGCCTTGTTTTGTTTGTGGTTTATTTTTGTTTTGCTGACTTGCCAGCACTTGTGCAAACATCGCCAAGGTTAATGCGGATCTTACTTCGGGTCGGGTCTACGTTGGGAAAGGCTTGAGGGCAAATTAAATTTTACGAGTCACGTGACAAACGGTTCAATAGACTCGAGGTGAATCACTTATGTAATTATGGAAGTTGTTAAAGGTTCACGACACCACACAGTAATACTTTCAGTAATAAACCCCCTAAACCTTAAGGTGGAGCTCCATTTTATTTAGAGTTAATTGTGTAATGAAAAGTTTTCAAATTATACAAAAATAAATTGAAAAACACCCACAATCGATTACTAAAAGCTAGCCCCCAGGGTATCAGAAGCACCACATTCCGTACAAATTTTTTAATAAAGTCCAAAGCCCCGAAAATCCAACCATAAATTATTCATAAGTCGTTGCCGCATGACTGACTAAGTCGGAGGAGTACGATGGAACTGGTCTGGAACTGCAAGAAGGAATCTTCTGTGTCCTTGGCTCCTCCTGGCGAAGGCTATTAAAGACCAACCAGATTACTGGCTCCCCCAATCATAATTAAAGCAATTTCTTACCGTCAGATTGATGCTCTGCTTGGTTGCTTTAATTAGCTGTCAAGTTGGAAAATTTGTTGGTAGTAGCCTATACCAATTATCTGACTGAATAGAAGCATTTAGCCGGCCGACTTGCCGGCAAATTATTTTGTATTTCAGGCCGGAAACAATTGTTGGGAGCATTTCTCAGGAGTCCCTGTGAGAGTGTCGGCTCCTTAATATTTCATTAACTTATTTATTGCTCTTCATAATTCAATTGGGCTCGTTCCCCAGGCGGAATGGGGATGATGCCGTATATAGAATATGAAAATTGATTGTATATCGAGGGGGAAGCCCACCATACTGCGTACATATGTTGCTCCATTGTTTAGCGGAGAGATCGTTGTAATTGAAACCATGCCTCATTTGGCTTCATTTCGGGAAACGTGGGCACGAAAATTGAAATGAATACTTAACCAAAATGTTACATAATGTTGCAAATGTCAGAAGCTGTTTAGGGCTCGAGCCCTCAGGCTCTAATTGGTTCTGCCATTTAAATTTTCTTAAAGGGAATTTTTCGAAATCAACAAAGTTGTTTTCTCACGATTATCTTGTGGAAAAATAGGACCTCACGTAACACATTTCAACAAATAATTGTTCTGCGTGTTTCAAACATTTTTCTACCAATTAACACAGGTTTTCATGTTCTTCATAAAATCAAATATGCAAACTTGAAAGGTATTTAAACTTTTAATTAGTAGAAACTTGCCAGACAATGGATAAATAACATATATCGAAAAACAGTAAACTTTTGACTTTTCCTGAAACCTTGCCAGGCCAGGAATCAAATCAAATAGAATGTGAAAAGTTGGATATCTTAAAAGCCCATTCGGGATTACCAAAGCAGATATAGTGCGAACAGAGAGAAAAGCATTTCCCTTTCCCCCAAGGAGAGTGTATCGTTTACCCATTAGCCTTGGCTAATGATTAATTAATTGTTCGGCCCAACAATCACCAGGTAACGACAATGCTCTTGGCTGCCAGGACCTTGTTTCTCCTCGACACACAATGGACTCTCTCGCACATGGCCATAAAGTTGCAACCAAAGTCAATTTCTGGCAGAGGAAGGAGGCCAGAAGAGGCGGTATTTGGGCCAGAAACGAAGCGTTGACAACAATAGGTGCCATAGTTAATTGGAGCAATGCCAGCACAGTGTTTCTTGCTGGGATTGCTGTTTTCTGCCTCCCTCCGGGCTGGCAGATGAAACACTACAAGAAAACATCACCTGCTACGTTTCTAGGGTGGCTCGTACAAGAAAGCACTTCATCTCTTTTTTCAGTGCTTAGAACACACCTGTTTGTTGAGGAAAGATAACACTCTTGATGTATTATTCGTAGGTGTTGCCATTGAAGACAAAGCCCAAGCCGAAGCAAAAGAAAAAGCTGTTGACATACAGCAGCTGTGATGGGTTAATGTGCTTATGTATCTCCTGTTTCTTGTTTGCTGAATCCTTGTATTGTTTATGCATCAATAAATATCCTGCTGTGACCCGGTGGCAAGGCTTAAAGCCTTAATATGAGATTAGGATATGAGATTCAGTATATGCTTAAATTGTGACAAACGGTTGTTACAATGCTTCTTGGTAAATGGAGCAGAATGGATGGAAATTAACTTATCTTTATCTTAAATCTTTGTATTTCAGAGCCTATTAATTGCCACATTAGTTAACCATACTTGTACCAAAATTGATGTCGACAAGCCATTTAATTAAATTGCCTCCAAATAGATTCCCACTTAGCTCTGGTAATGAAGTTAAATTATTTTCGCGCTGGAGACATGCAATGGGGTTCCTAGTCCCCCAACTTGTTGCTACCTCTGGCTTTACTACTCAGACTATAATATGAGCTATTTGAGTTAACGTTTGTCACGATATCGTGACCAGACGTCCAGCCAGACGAAAGCGAGCATAAATATTTGATTAGTTTGACCGAACCGGGACTCTGACTGACACTTTGCATTCGCACTTTGCTCCCAGCTTGACCTCCGGCTTGTGGCCAGAATGTGTGGGCCATAATTTGCAAAATCCTTGCGTTATTACTGAGCTGGGACGTCAGTCACATACGTATCTCTATATTGATGGATGACTCCGTCCCTATCGCTCCCATGCCGGGCACGTGTATGCAAATGTTTTCTATGGCGGGGAATCATAAACATTCGGCAGCTCCAAACTGTCGAAACAATTTGGCACAGCATGGCGTATGCGTAATGTATTGCAGATTGTTTTTATGTCCATATACCCAAACATATTTATGCGTGGGTGCGGTAAGTGTTTGGTTAACGTGTGCCGAAGGATTCGAGGAGTTCCCAGGCGGCAATGGCCAAGAACTCAGAACTCAGCACTGGCTCCTGCAGAAAGTGTTAACCCAACAAACTTTTATCAGGGTCGTAAAAACCGAGTGTATTTATATATTTCATTCACTCTTTAATTATCCCCATAATTGTCTCGTTTATTGTATGGAGCATAAACTGTTTTAATGTTGGCATCGCCTGCTGTTTAGTCAAGTGTTTTCCATCAACTTGAATTCATTGCCAAAGTACAAAGACGCACTAGACCCAAATAAATAAATAATGTTTTAGCATACGTCAAGGTTCCTGCAGACTCTAGAGTCTAGAGTTGTTTGTGCCAAACGATGGCACAAGAAATCATTTTTCAATGTTATGAAAATTTTATTCGGCACCTGAGACACAAGGACACAGCAGACTAAATTGACATGAAAATGCCATTTCATTTATTTCTGAAGAACAAAAAAGAAAACT